CACATATAAACTACGAGAACAAACTTTATTACAAAGGTGTCCTATCGTCAACAAGTTTACTTTGAATTGCAAAACTTCCAAAAGAAATGTGCCCTGTTTCACCAAAATCTTAAGTACATAGTTTGACCGAGGTATACAGATTGTCAGTTAGATTGTCCGTAATTAAAGTATATACATATGTATTTATTTTCATCTACATAAATAATGTTTAAAATACTTCCTCGTCCAGACGTTCTCCAATGATTTTCACAACTACATATGTATAATAACACAGTATTAAAGGTACGTGAACTATGTAAATCTTACATTGTCGAGTTCTATAAAAAATTTTACATTAAACCATTAATATGTACATACATACATAATTTTATACACGTTGGTGTCGTTATTTACTAGGTACCATGTTCTACGTGTGTGAAAAATTACATACTTGAATGCATAAATAAAGACAGAAATATCCATAATTTCTCTCTAGATAAAACTTATTTGCGTCACCACAACCACCATCAATGCCCCGTCTGCAAGCTTACTACTTGAAGTATTTGGTTATGTCGCTTGTCCCATCGTTGATGTTTGCTGGCCCATCGTACTTGATCTCAGCGCTATCAGATTCCATCCAAACTATAATTCCCTGACCCCACTCTGGCATCCGGGTAATATTTACCTAGAATAGTTTACTCACAATACTTATTGAAGTTGGTCCCCTAATTATTCGCTACACTACAATTGCCCATGTTCATTGCCACCATCTCACGAGGAATTGCATGCAACACGACGATCTCGAATGTGACTAAGACACCGATTACGCTCAAAATTAAAGGTTTCGTTACACTGAAGCAGTTCATCCCGCTTAAAGCAATCCGTCCAGTTTGCAATTTTCTCTCAAAACGAGCCACCTGATTCGAAAATGGAAATCTGTCATATATTAGTTACATACATATTATTGGAAAATGTATGTTTTGCATGCACCTTTTGTGTATACATCTCGATTGGACATTGCTCCAAAATGTCTGCAAATTTGTGGGCTTCCGTGGACACCCTCGCTGCCAGCAGAGCCATTGTGAAGAATCGCACCACGACGTGGAGGAAACTCCATATTGCGTAAAATTTATAGAGTTGATTCACTTGAAGAAATGGCGTCAAGATGACCTTAGAATACAAGATAGATCCCTAAAACGGGCGGCTTAAGTGAAGCGAAGGGAAGTGCGATTAAAACACTTGAAATAGCAACGAATCATAGCAATACCACCACGTGAGCAGTGGTACTTGCATTTATGAATATGTATTGTGGCCATTTCTTATCCGATTTTGATTATCTCAAAGTTAATTGAAAGCTAAAAATATTTAGAAACTTTTTTCCACAGTACATTTTTGATTTAGGTCCTCAATTTTTTCCTATAAAGCAATGTCACTTTTTGGAGGGTGTTTTTTGAGAATATCTCAGGAATGGGTAGCCTCACAACCGACCAGAGTTGGAATCCAAAAGTAGACCATCATAATTAACTCTCGACACTTATTTTGCAAAAATCGGTTAAGAAATGGTAAAGTAATGTGGTTTTGTCACTTTTGAACGTTGTAGTAAATGCATACTTAGGTGTTTTTTAATCATTAGATCACCATAGCTTCACCTAAGAAAAAGTATGTATCTATGTAATGACGTGTGAAAATTGTGAAATATAGGGAATACACAAAAATAAAGATCATCAAAAAAACATATTGCTCTACCAACGTGATCTTGATAAGTACATAAATAATAGGGCGTATATAGAGATACACAAGTAATAATATATTAACGTTTTACGATATTTCTAGCAAATTTTTAAAGGTAAAATTTTAATACAAGCGGTAATACGTTAATACCGATTAATCAGTCACTTTACCCGATTTCTAATCACGTGCTTACCACTAAACAAATCCAGAACACGTTGGCAGCAAATGTCACAAGAATAATAGGTGACAAGAATTCCTTAAACGATTCCATAACTTGACAAATTATTCCGTGATCGTTAACCAGAAATTCCCAAAAGACGGCATCCTCTCCCAAATACTTTTCATCCTTAATCCCTCCGTCAACATGCACAATTTTCTTGCAAGTTTCCCTCAATCCTTTGAATTGTCCATACAGCACCCGAGCAAATATCCCGATCAGAATGTCCACATAATTCCAGGCGTATTGGGTAACAATGTTCAATGTCAGAGTCAATATGTTCCAGCTTTGATACTCGTAATGCAAATCCCAACCGATTTTGTTTCTGCAAAAAATTATGTAAGGTATGAAATTAACGCAGTAGTAAAATTAAGAGATAAATATAAATTACTTGTTTTTTCATTTAAGAGACTTTTTTGTATACAGGGTCTTTCCATTTTATAGTCCGAGTTGCTTTTTTGTCATAGTTTTTGAAACAACAGCGCTAAATAAAATATTGCGTGTGTTTCGGGAAGCTTAGTTCAAGTTGAACCAGTCCCTGCTTGCTCCATTTCGAAATTCAAAAAATGGATCCTAAAATTGACTTCAAAGTGGTCAATGTCGAAAAACAAGTTTGCCAGCCTATAATGTTGTACAGAAAAATACTAAACCAGTTCAGTGATGAAACAATGGCCATTTCTCATGGCCCAATATCTAAAATAAAGGATTCAGTTGAAAAAAGGAACCAGGCAAGAAATTTGATGGCGCCACACCCGTCTAACGCATGCCCCCCGAACTTTAAGAAAACCGACGCTCGTAAGAAAAATTGATGTGGAGAGGGCAATAATTTTTTTCTAAATACAAAAGCAACCGGGAACGAAGTGTTATGTCACTGGGCGTACACTGAACCGAATTATTCATCAAAATATGCACAACTTCAGCGAGAGTCAGAAGATATCAGGTGTGCACGAAACTTTTTCTCTGACAACGCTCGGATCACCACCCAGTACGCAGCCAATTTTTCTTTAACATTCGGAATTTGAGCTATTTTACATAAATCCAAACTAGTTACGTCCGATTATGTGCCTTCAGTGCATTATTTTTGATTTCCACCTTCAGATCTACACTATTTGTAAATTGCCATCAAAATTTTTCGAAGTGTTTTGCAAACTTTCAGATGAAAAGCAGTTCGAAGAAACTCTGCTGTCGGCTTTAATCACTTCTTAGAAATTAGAACTTCATTCCTCATCAGAAATGGATGAGGATTACGATGAAAATACGTAAAATATTCGGCGACACGTATTTCGCCCAGAAATTTGAGGTTAGTGACTCGGACTATAAAATGGAAATACCCTCAGTATAGATATTTATGTAACTGGTATATTATTTAGGAGACGTTTCAACTATGCTTAGGAGTCGCTAAAATTAAATCCCCAACAAGTTACCATGTACATAGGTCGTTCGACTCAATGTTCTGCAGAGTCTTGCAACATTTTAAGCTATCACTTATTCAACTTATTTCTACAAGATTATCTTAAAATCGTGATTTGTGTCTTTGTGTTCCAAAACTTGGCTCGCTCTAAAATTTCAGCATTAATTTAATTGAATGATATGTATGTACAGGTATTTATGTCGGCCTGACAATCTTTCAATTTGTGGTTTTGGTTAAAAAATTTTAATATGGAACGCAAAAATTGTATACATCGAAGAAATTGTTTTAAGTGAAAATGATCTTTAGTCGAAAATTTCAAGAAATCAAGCAGGTGATTGGTTAATTCAAAGAGTTAATTTTTAAAAACAATTAATGAAATCACGACTTTCATAGAATTATCTTAGAGTACTTATCAACCCAAAAGAGCAAATAATTACGTAAACCGATTTTATTTTGGAGGTAGATTAGTGTGTAACGTAATTCTCAAAACGGGTAAAGGGTAGCCGCACGGTGTACGCGTAGTTGGTATGCGGGTCCGATAACGGGCAGCATTTTACCTACCCGCGACAACCCCACGTTTAGTGGGCACACTAGACGTACATAGGGTTTCAAACCAAACGTGTGGTTTGAAATGTTTCGATCTACCGAACATCATAATGTAATTACATAGGCTGGGCTCAGTTTCAATGGTTTGTTCGAGATGATTGTTTGTGTGACATTTCAATTTTAATACATTAAACAAATTTCTATGTTACTGTTTTAAATGTGTTGCTCAAGGTAACGTTTGCCTACCTTAGGAACGGCCAGGAAATTGTTGCCGAAATAGTAGAGATGAATATTATAATTTCCCAGATACCGACATCTCTCGAGAGAGTAGTGTCGTCCACAGGAAAGTGAAGACGGGACAGGTTTTTCCACGTGGAAAAGAGATTACAAAACTTGCTCCCGTTTATCAAGAATATGATGTAGCTGAAATATAAAAATGTCCATGCCATTTTCTTCACTACTTTTGAATTTCATACCAGAAGGTCCCAAGCGTATACTGAGCTGGAAGAAGGGCAGCCCAAGCTATTTCAGAAGCGTTGGTATGATTCTTCCTTAAACTTTGGATCAAGTTGACGACAGCGTATGTACCGATTAGTAGTGCGATTATCAAGGTAGTGCACGATGCAAGGCTGAATTTCCTTAAAATAATTAAATTAGCTTAATTACTATATTTGCAAATTTCCACGAGTTTTAAATTCGCAATGGCCAAGAAATGGATTATGCACGTATTCCAAGGTATGGATTTGTGCACGCTCCATTTTTTATGCTACATATGTACCTACATAAACTACAGATTTTGTAGTACAGAATCCGCACAATTTAATTAGCCAATTCACGCAGTCCTATAAAACTTTGTAAAGTCTGTAAATTTGTGTAAAATAATTTTACATACTTTACAAAATAAAAAGGCGTCCTTGATCTGAATAAGTTTACAAAAACTTAAGCTTTTCCTTGTAAGTATTTCTAAAATTATGTAAAGGTTTACAAAATTTACCGCCAGACAGCATTTTACGAACCCGAATTGCCAACAATTACAAATCTCACGATCAGTAAATCAATTTCGTCGTTCTAACCAAGCATCCCTAATAAAAATTATTGAAAAATATATCAACTTACTTGAAAGTAAGTTTTGAACCTCGATGGAAAACCCCTTGAATTGGTAGGATTCCAATTACTCGGCCAAAAATTAGGTAGTATCGCAACTTATCTTGAAGGGATGGCTTATCGTTACGCGTGTGGTTTTCGATGACAGGTTTGACCCTGACAATTCCTAAGACATCAGATTTTGGACCCCCAAGGTCAGAAGTAATGTCAACCTGGGAAATCATTATGCACCCTGACCCAATCTCCTAAATGGACACTGGTGACTGGATTAAAAAATATCTAGTTACAATGTGTTAGATATTGCACAGATACATAAACTTCGAAACCCAACTTTATTACAAAGATGTCCTACCGAGAATAATTTTACCTTGAACGTTACAAATTTACAAAACAAATGTGTCCCGTGTTTCATAAAGAGCTGAAGTATGTACACAGTCTTAGCGAAGTATGTACATACCTATACGGTATTGTCAGTTAGATTGTCCGTAATTAAAGCATTATCGTATAATGGTTAGAATATTTCATTGACGTCTATGTACATAAGACACTAGACATGTGTACATATGTACATGTGCATACCTATAGTATGTATCTACATATGTATTTACATACTCACCTATTATGTACACGTGCATATAGTGCAATTATTTGTGCGTGTTACCTCCTTTGTACATTTAGACACGGCGAGAGAAAGTGTTTATTCAACATGGAAAGCCCGTATCGCCGAATAAGGGCAAGGACAGAATGGAAAATGGGCAGATTTGTGCAAATAAGGTGACAAGCCTACGTAAGAGCACAGTACATTCCTCCAGTGGAAATTTTCTTCTAGCTTTTCTACACTTCCTTAATCTCGTTTCCAAAAGTGTTTAATGTATTCACTCACTCGCCATGGTAAATATTTACTTAATAGCGCTTAGATACTGAACAAAACTTTGGTAATTAGATACATATTTCTGAATAGAATACTAGATTACTCAGGATTAGTAAATGCATGAATTTAAACACACTCCAATAATTTCCACAACCATGTGATATTCATTTTCGCAAAAAGAACACAATGTTTTAGGAACCCCATAAATTACTCGTGTTTACCGAATTTGTTTTATTCATATGTGAAGTATATACATAAATACATATTTACATTATCGAGTTTTATAGCAATATTTACCTTAAACTATTAATAGGCATATAAATATAAACATAAATTTATATACGTATGTAGTAGGTGCTCCACGTGTATGAAACATTCATACCTAAATATAAAAATACATACATACGTACATAAATATCTATACTTGCACCCTCAACATAAAATTCTTTGCGTCACCACTACCAACAACGCGGCAATTAATGTAACCCCGCATGCAAGTTGACTAGAAGAAGAATTTGGCGTCGTTGTAGGATCCGGCGTCGTCGAAGATGTCGTCTGTTGCGTCGTTGATGTACTGCCGCCCGTCGTGCTGGTCGTTACTTGATCCTCATCGGGATTAGCTCTCATCCAAACTAAAAGTTGCTGACCCCAGTGCGACATCCAATTAATGTTTGAACGAACCTCGTCCACTTGACGATTAATCAAGTCCAATAACTCGCTCAATCTTGTCAAATGATTTGCAACAAATAATTCAAGCTAGATTTGTAAAAATTTAAAATCAATTAAAAAAATATGTATGTGATGCTAGATCCTACTGACGTGAGTCAACTTACCAATGTGGTAATATTTGCCACTGTTTATCACCATAAAGTGCACTTTATGGTGATAAACAGGGGTAAATATTATCATGATAATGCTCACGGATAAAACAATGTATGCATTTAAATGTGTGGAAAATGGGTAAAATGACTATGAGGCACTTCACGCGGTCCTTTGTAACTTTGTAAAATCTGTTAAGTTACAGACTTTTATAAAACTTGATGTACTAATACTTTCAAGGGCATTTGGCTTGTAAATTTTTGTAAACTTACATACTGAGATTAAGGATGTCTTTTTATTTTGTAAAAATTTGTGAAATTCATTTACAAAATTTACAAAGTTATCAAGGACTGCGTGACTTGCTTCTATATTTTGCCGTAGAAGCAATTATGTATATACTTCCAGTTAATTTACATATGTACCTCGTTTAATTCCTGCTGGGTAGAAAGCTGCGGTACCAGGCTGGTCAAAATTGTTACGACGACGGTCACATTTCCCTCACCCAATTTGTCCACGATTGCGTCTAGGTTGTCATTAAGATACCGGATTACTAACAATCTGCCCTTTGAATTCATGCCGACACGGGCAATCACGGGGATGAAATGGGCCGGTGCGAGGCCGGATTCGGGACCTTCCAACGGCCAGTCCAAGAACCTTTGTATCAAAAGTTATTTAAATTAGCTAGAACATAATTATTTTATATGAACTATTAAGAATACTGCATAATAGTAGCCTATGTAAGTAGCTATAACCGAGTTTCTAAATCCTACTGGTAATGGTTTACCACAGAATGGAAAAAATCATTTCTGCGAAACCCAAATTTGTTACCATTCAGTAGAAAATATGTTCCATGGCGGTATTACAGGATGAATCGATAACACGTGAACGCGGTCACTCTTGAATTGCTCCAAAACGGGTTGGAGTTTCGGTTCCAAATTTTCAGCATATCGACTTGTGATTGTTGACAAGGGCTGAGCAAAAAATTAGCTCTCTAGATTCAAAAATGACCCGACCATTGACCTTAGAGTAAAAGGGTACCATAAAAACACTTTCCAAACTTAATTTTTCATACACAGACGTAATTAACCACTTAAAAACTCAAGGACAACAAGTTTCGAAAGGAGAAATACATAAGGTACTAAAAAATGAAGGTCAACAACAACAAGCTCGTACCAAAGGAAAACCATCATGCCTCAAACACAAGCCCGAAAAGTGCTAATTCGGCCCGTGCTTAAGAAAATTGACCTATTGACCTCTGAGGACAACCCACCACCCCAGAGAGCAGTGGCACGTCTAACCAAAGTGTCAGAGACTAGTGTGCGACGAGCAATTAAAATTTTGGGGAAGCAAAAAGGAAGAAAAATCCAAGTCCATCAGCTGACTGACAAGCATAAAAAAAATCGTCGTCTGACCTGCAAAAAAATTTTTGTGAATTACCTAACAAAAGATAAAAGTGGCTTCTGAGTGTCGTTGGATGAAGAATTAGTTTCTTTACAAGATACCAACAGTCAGAGACCAATTTACTATACACCCAAAGAAGAAAATAATTCAAGAAGATTGACCATCCCGCACACGGAAAACTTTTGCAACAAGTTCATGGTGGTTGGTGCATTATCTGGTCGTGGTGTCCTCCCACTTATCAAAGCTTGTCAAAAAGTGAAGGTAACTGCGAAGTACTACATTGGCTTTGTTTTAAAACCGCTTTTGGAGATTAATGTCGCAAAGCTGTTTGGCCAGGGCACAAAAAAAGTGATAGTTCATCACGACGCAGCGTCATCGAACACTGCCCTTTTGACCCAGGACTAGGCCAAGGATATAAAAGCTAGACTCGGGATAACAATCATCCAAAATAGTGAAATACCTGTTAAGTCAGCCTATGTAAGTCCCATGGATTTTTTCGGCTTTGGATATCTGAAACAAATGCTTTTCTCCGCCACCCAAAAAATTTTGACAGAGTTTGGAAAGTTTTGAGAGACGGGTGGTCTAAAGTTGACCTCGCCATGGTCAAATCAGTGTACAAAAGTTGAAATCGTCGACGCCGACTTGTAGCTCGAGAAACGGGCTTTCACATAAAAAATGTTCTGGACTTCCACTCCAAGCCGTTCAACCAGTAATTGAAGGTCATCCGCGTTCACGTGTTATCGGTTCAACCTCGGTATGTCTTCAGTGTGACTAACAATGTTGTTAAACTAAATAAATACGCGATCAGATATCTGTAAAATCTGTAAAATAGTACCGCCTGGTACTATTTTACTACTGGGTTTAATATTCAATTTCGATGCATAAGTGCTAGATTTTGTTTCGTAAATTTTACCACTAACCCTTGCAGGATTCTTTCATCTTGAGTGCAGGCCAGTCCGTGTAGAAGTCTCGTTTTGAGGGCTTCTTCTCTCAAAATATTGGTTTCTACGTATCTCTGTGCGACAAAAAGGTACCCGGGGAGTCCCTCGTTTGCAACAATACTGCAGAAAATTGTGGGTTGTATGTCGACCTGAATTCTACAAATGAAACGTCAAGTTTGTTAACTAAGGTTTTTTGGGTATTCAAATATTGGATGTACTAACGACATCTTATTTCGCATTGTTACTCATACATAAGTACATAGCAAATATGTAAATAGTTTTTGATATAAGAAAGCAAATAAATTCACAATTCGTGGGAAAATTTAAGAACAAGAATAACTAGTATCTTTAGCGACCCGTTTTACGAATTTGTGCAGAACTCGCACGTGTCACCTTATTTGCATAAACATCATTATGCCCATTTTCGGCGATACGCTGCTAAACTCAGTTTCTCTCGAGAATGCGTCAAAATATGCAAATGAGCTGACTAGCACAAATAATTCCACTACATTTATGCTGAATTTTGCAGAAATGTGAAGATTGTCGTTAGTAAATACGTAAATTACAGTAAATTTCATTTCCTACGGGTTAATTCTGGTTTCGTTCCACATGAAATAAAGTTCTTGAGCGTATTCCAGACATGCCGGATGCTTTAGAGAACAAGCCCAGTCGATCAATTTCATTCGAAAAATTTCATCCGCACCAACCAATTCTTCATTCTCGAGACCAATTCTCCTCAAAGCACGGTCGATTTTGGGGAGAAAATATTTCTAAAGGAAGTGAGGCATGTCAATAAATATTACAAATTTGCATACTTAGATATGTGCAAAATAAAACTAAATTACGTACTGTAAATGCATCGCGTTGTTCTGCAGTTTCCATAAATTTGTATAAATTTCTGAACTGATTAAACACAACTTCCCACACAGTAAAAGAATCTTCTTGTCCAAAATAAGTAGTAAGATCTAGTGCGGTGTCGATATTTATGAACCCTTCAAACCAGAAATAAAAAATGTAAAATGTCGGGGAACATAAAATTTCGAAAAATACCTTTATACGCCAAATTAAAATAGTCATCCAACAACTGAGTTCTACTCAACGGAGATATTTTGGACGGATCATTCCTCAGCTGTCGCTGAATGAGTAATGTCAACTCGGCGTCGTACAAGACTCGGTAAAATCCCGTGGCATCAGCATTCAGCATAATCCATTTCCCAGGGAAATTATCGTACGTCGTGGTTCTTTGGTTATTCGATAACCACAAAGTTGGAACGTGATTCGGCAAAGGTGGAGAATCCTGCGTGACCACGGTGATGGGAACGTACCATAAATTGGGGGAATTCGTGTCTGAGTACCGTTCCTAGATACATGGCAGGAAACATTTTATAAACACCATATTAGATTGCATGTACAGTCTGGTCCAAGATAGCGTGCCACTCAATGTGTCTTAAAACCACTTCAAAATAAATTGTTTTTGAAGACAACTTCTTCCATAAGTGCAAGAAATACAAGAAAAATAAGCGCCATTTAGACGACAATCCCTATGATCAGTGATCGCTAAATGATTATTTCTTTCAGTGCCAGAAATCCCGAAAAGGTACAAAAATTCAAACACTGCTGCGCTTCAATTTACTTAGGTTAGCTCACAATGTTCAATTACACCGATACGGGTTCTCAGTTTAATCTATGGCCTTCAAAATACATATGTAAATTGATGTGATGTGACATGCTATTTTGGACCGACTCAAAACATTTAGCAGTGTTCCAAATACTTGAGAAATCAGAACGTCTCCATGAACGCTGTGAACACTAACTCGCACCAACGGATGACCTGCTTGCGTCGTCCACGTGTCCAAGATCGTTTTTACATCGGTACCTGGCGGAAATGTAGAGACTCTGCCATCCTCAACGGCAGCTTGTTGCAAGTGCACGAATAGATCATCTTGCTCGGCGCCTAGGAACTTTCTAATAAAAAACATAAAATCAAAATTCTAATAGGAAATGTACTTCTCACGATTTGGTAACAAAATTCTCCAAATTTAAAGAGTTGGTAAAATTCTGTACGTAATACTGTTCATCCAATATTAATAGTTTGAAAAAATCTGAAAGGTTTTCTGTGAGATTACATATTTTACATTTTCCAAAAACAGAATAACCTATTAGAAAATTTGAAAATGAATTCAGACCATCAATATTGGTAGGAATAATTCTAGAAGGAATTTAAATTTATTACCGGCCAATGATATGTAAATAATTATCATATTACTGGTAATAAATTTGTTCCTAAACAATTTAGATGTTAAAATTTTTCGGTAAAATTTTATGAATTTTCTCACTTTGCCTCCAAATATCGGATCAATCCTTTCTTAAACGTTTCTTTAGTGAGGAAGGCTTCAACCATGCGATTAATCGAGGCCCCCTTTTCGTACGTAATTGTGCTAAAATACGAGTCAATTTCTGCCGGAGTAAGGCCAGAATTCTTCAGGGGATGACTATCCGGACCAGAATCGTAAGCAAGGGCGGGCTGCAGGGCGTCGTTAAGTTGCCACTCGCCATGTCGAAATTCCGGAGCAACAGCGTCAACCCCCATGTAACTCAGGTACGTGGCGAAACCTTCATTAAGCCAAATTTCACTCCACCATTTACATGTGACTAAATTCCCAAAATTTTGATGAGCCTGAGGATTTAGTTAGAGTAATTAACAAAAAAACATATTTATATTGTAGTGCAAATTTTAAATCAAATTACCACTTCGTGCGACACAATGCTCTAGAAAAGAAAAGAAGTTTTAATTATTTGCTGGCTTTCATAGTCTTGAAATTTTGGGCGTACTTAAGTTTAAAGTATTTTATTTACAATATTAAAAGATTTTGACGTGAGTTTACGCCCTTAAGAAACATATATGTAAATTATTTCATGTCGTAACTCAAATAATTTGGGAATGATTTTCAAAGACCAAGACAAGGAGATTGGTCCAACAAAAATCAAATATTTTTCCGGCATTTTTGTGTAACTTCTGAATATAAATCTGTTAATATGCTTAGCTTGAGATATTTTCTATTTAGCCATGCAGTTACTAATAAATATAATATTAGAGATAATTGGCTTTTATGTATACCGCGATAGCATTTTTTGAAGTTTCCAGTGATACGAGAGGTGAGTACATGAGCAGATCCGTCCTGAAAGTGGGCAATATTTTTTCAATTGCTTTTAAATAAGCACAAATAGTTGTATACATACCTGTACAAAATTAGCCCCCAGTTTTCCATCGCACCTGGAAATCATGGTCACACATACATACATAATTATGTATTTTATAAGTAATTTCATATTTCTAGCTTAAGTATCGTTTGGATCAAATTAGATATCTTCTATCCAATATTTTACATAAATGTGTTACATAAATAAATAAGGGCAACTAAATATATGTACTAGAAATACGTGTGATAAGATAAGTGATCCGCAAATTTTGACCTAATTTTATTTTAAAATTGGTCACTACTTTTAACCGAATGCTCTAATTTGATCTTAATCCAAATTCGTCAGAAGGATTACAAAAATATTGTTTTTATATTTAAAAAGGTCACTCTTCATACTGCTTTTGTGGGTGACGGTTGCAGAATCCACTTTCTCCATGGGATACGTCGTGTTAAAAAAGGTGTCAAAGAAGCTCAAAAGTTTTGCCGTAAGATTAACTGAGTAGTTCCCCAGGCCATCTCGGATATGGTTCGGTGTCGACCAAACCTTCGTATCATTAAATTTAATTGCAATTAAATACAATTAGTTATTTACATTTTTAACTTGACCCAAATAAAAGTTACAAATGTACATACTCGAACTGGTTTTGCAAACAATCCTGCATCGGCAGTAACATATTCATATTCCGCAATTGTGAAGGCAAAAAGATATGTGGGCATTTTCAGGGTTGTTGTGAACTTGGACCTTACCCAACCTACGAGGCCAGGTTCAGGGCTATCGAAGATAAGATAAAAATTAATGTCACTCCTCTTATCGAAACTGGTGCATATCCATCATCACTCTAATGTTTGTAACCTCGTAAACTGTGCAAAATTAATTGTTTGCAAACTTTCGCAACTTAATTAGAGATATATATCAACATATATAATTTTCAAATCATTAGAATGAGGGTATTCATTACGAGTTTGCAAAAAAGCAAAGTTCGCAAGTTCCTAAAAAAATTGGAAATGAAAATTGTTTTTGCGAACTTTACTAGCATTTGGTTTGCAATTTGTTATCAAAATTGTGTTTCCTAGCACGTAATGAATACCTCCATTATTATGAACTTATAAGGTTACAGAAATCCTAGAGATTTTTTGTTTTGTAAATTTACATAGGCTGTCCAATCGTTTCTCCGTTTGCAATCGCTTTATATTTCGTCTCATAAATTAGATCCAATGTGAAAGTTGCTTTCAAATCGGGTTCGTCGAAGCAGGGGAGTAGTTGACGTAAATGGTACGCTTCCATCTGCGTGGCGGCGATTAGCCTAAAATTTTAAGAAAAAAAAATAGAAAATTTTCACAAGTTTTAGTGAATTTTTAGGAAATTTGATCTACTTATATTTATGGAAATGTACTTTGTATCTCCAAACTCGGTGAGGTAACTGCTCAAGTATAACGCGTTGGTTCGACCATCTCGGAAAATGGAGGCTAAAGATTCCGCATGAAGTTTGTAGGTCACGCCCGGTTCGAGTACGCCACTTAGGAGTGGAATGTGCAAAAAGTGCTTCTCGACTTCTTTGTCGACAACGTATGGTGATAGAGGGATATCTACTCCAGCTTCGTTTGTTAACTGTGGATCGTTAAGGAAAATTGTGACATGTTCTTGCACATAAAAGTATTAAAATTATGCTAATTTGAATATGTATTTAATAAGTTGGATAGAAAATGTAAGATCTTAAAGACTGGCATCAACTGATTTTTTTAGTATGCCAACAATTTATAATATTTGCATCCCTTGTATGCGTAGGTACAACCACTGGCCGCGGAAGCCGTGGGGGCATCTGGGGACATTATTAAAAATATTGTGGGACGGGGGAAGGGGGGTAATATGTACAGATGGGGAGCTCGCTTCGCTGGATACGAATTTGACCTTGAATAGCCCAGAACGGTTTGTCGTAGCGGGTTAAAATTTTGAACAGAGGAGCATGTGATCCTCAGATAGTTGTGTGCAAAAATTCAACTCACTACTTTTAAAAATGCCTCCCCCACAGCTCCCAGAAGTTGACACAGTCATTTCAACTTTTTCCAACAAAAATCTCACCAGTGTTTGCAAAAAAATTATTTAAATTTTCTGTTGAGGAATGAGTGAGTTTGTGGTGACATTTGACTAAGAACTATTTTCTCTACAAGTTACTAATTGGGTTTGAAGAGCTTACTACACGACAAATGCTGAAAAAAATTCACGGAATTTGGTGCTTTTTCGGAAGGAGAACTTTTTAAACAGTTTATGGTCGTGGCTGCAATGTCGGATCGTGGTGTCCTCCCACTTATCAAAGTCCCCCAAAAAGTGAAGGAACCTGCAAAGTATTATGTGGACCGTGTATTGAAACCACTTTTAGAACAACATTTTCCTAAATTGTGCAGTAAAAAAATAAATAAGGTGATTTTTCATGATCACCCAGCGCCTTCCCAGAAGGCAAAGTTGACCCAAGATAATGCAAAGACGCTAGATTGGGGATAAAAATCACTTCGAATAGTGAAATACCTGTACAATCCTTCAATGTAAGTCAAATGAACTTCTTTAGGTTCGGATGCTTGAAAATAAAATTTTTCTGCGGAGATCGAATTTTTTAGACGGAGTTTGAAACGAGTAAAAATGACTGTGTAAACTTCTGGGGGCTGTGGGGGAGGCATTTTTAAAATTAGTGAGTTGAATTCTTGCACACAACTATCTGAGGATAACATGCTCCTCTGTTCAAAATTGTGACCCGCTACGACAAACCGTTGTGGGGCTATTCAAGGTCAAATTCGTATCCAGCGAAGCGAGCTCCCCATCTGTATAACGATGGGCAGATGATGGGGACATCAAATAACCGTGGGAACATTGTCCCTACGTTCCAATGCTTCCGCGGTCACTGCATCGGTTGATTTGCTTTGATATTTATCGGAAATTTTCCATTTTTTTAAAAAATAATTTCGACTCACCCTAAACGCCAACCCTGTCAGCAAATTTGCATGTAACGTTATCGAATTAACTCTCTCTTTAACAGTGAATGAAATTTGGACGCGACTCCTCGCCGTGTACGGAACTTCTCCGGCGGGTGCGTTGTCCAGAACAACTTTGATTTCGACAACATAAGTGGACGGGATCCAGGTGTCGTTGAGGCGATACAATGGTGACACTGGAGCCTTGTGCTTAACCGGATTTACGGGACGGAATCGTGGCGACGGTTCGATTTGGAGGGGCGGATGGGAAATACTGCCCCCTACGGCGAGAAGTAAAAATAAAAATGTGATTTTCATAATTTCTAAACGGATGTTATTAAACTTTCAAAAAACTGTTTCTGGGCCGAGTAGGGTAGACACACTGTGGCCAAGTTGGGTAATCTTGTCATACTTATTATGTAGGTGTGGAAGATATCATGTATGCATAATACTTATCTTCATCCGGCAGTTGATAGCTACACTCTAAAAGATAAGGTTATTCTCTTCAAAAGTAAATGAAGACTGAATTCAAAATTAAGTAAACTGCCCTAAATTCAGAGTAATGTTAACTTGATAATGAATAAAGTTTAACTGGGTTTGAGATATTTTACTTAATTGAGAATTCAGGGCGCATGTACTTTTAATAAAAGTAACATTATTTTTAAGAGTGTGCTTTAATTTAGATGAAGGTGAGGTACTGATAAGACCAAGTTCACGTGTCATTTGATACATAACCGCATTGTGCAAGGCGTCTCTTTGATAAACAACGTTCTGGCAAATGTTTGACGTACACAAGTGTAATCGATGTACATAGAATTATAAGTACATATGTATGTACATATACCGACAATAATTGAATACATGATCCATTAAAACAAAGACTAATTGCCCGATACAATTGTACATATTCGGTCGGTGTTAAATATTAATGACACATCGTGACAGGAAGGTTGTAAAATCACCTGTAAAATTCGTTCAGATGACTGTGTAAATAAATATTTAAATAACGGAGTAGAAATGATGTCAGCCGTTGTCTCGGCAGACATTTTACATATTGTTTCTGCCCCATGACCCGACACAAAGTCGGGGTTAAATTGGCAGAATGTGTATGCATTTTCAGCATAATGTCCTTAGTGGCTGTAGTTTATTCATAAATATGTCTGTGTGTATATACGTATGTATACATACGAGTACATACATATCTATGTAAGTACTTTAGTAGGAGAAACAATTTATTTTAAATTATACATACATCCAATCGCAAAAAAAGAGAGAAAACGGTGTGGTGTTTGAGAGCGAGTGTGCAAAAATTAAACATAAATAATTTACATTTCAAGAATGGAACAGGTACTTTTATGCATCCCCACGGCAGTTAATCACAACAATTTGCTGTTTTATTTGCCATTCTGAATAAGCAATATTGTTGGGCATAAATTTGTACGCTTAAAAATATGTAATTTTGTACTCTCCATCATATTTCTGTGTCTGAATATTGGAAAAATTAGCTTTATATTAATACATTTGTATGTATATAACGGTCGCGTTGTTTTTAAAAGAAACACAAAATTTAACACAAATTTATATGGCAATCACAGACCTTAAATGTGTACAAACTTTCGAACACTTACTCTGGTTAAAGAGGCGATACGTAAAGCATGTTATTAATTTTCAGAGAACTTTGACACCTATCACCTAGTTTAAACTATTTATGACACCTCCCTTGCCCCCCAAATCGATGACATGCTTTTTGCACATTCCCAAATCAGAATTAGTATACATACATACACTTCATATATATGCAACCTTTATGCAGATTATCACGATTCTAATTCAACCCGACCTCACTTGTTCCAACTCATAGCCGGTTTTGTTGTGCTTTAACCGTTTCTAAGCAACGCGTAACACGATTTGTGCCCAACTTTCTCCCGTTTTTGCACTGGTACAACACTACTGTGTTGTTCATATATTCGTATTTATACAGATTAGCCGTATGTGCAAACTGACTTTTGAGTATTATAGGTAGTTACAACAAATTTACAAATATTCCCAATATATGTTGCGATGGAAAATATGGTCTACTAAATATTAGTTTTACTAATAATCTTTATTCAACATGGACCCTCTTTTCCTCGCCATTACCCGCTTTCGTCAACGCCAATTTCCAGAGGCCATATCACACTGTGGAGAAATTCTGAGAAAGAATCCTCTAGATCAGGTATATGTACATACATATTTACATACGCGCACAAACGTCATACATTACATACTAATTTTAATATTGCAGGCTGCGTGGAGTCTGAAAACGAGAGCATTAACGGAACAAGTTCGTGTCGACTTTTTAGAAATATTTGACGACGGAATTGCTGAAGCTGTATTTAGCGAGGACACCATCGCAACGACGGCCCGGCCTGGCACGTCGCTTCGAACCCCTGCCACATCAGGGGGTCGGCTTCCTACTCGAGATGGACCAAGTCCTGCCATCAGGTCAGACACTGTTAGAAATCCAGTATTATCTAAAATAATCCCAAGCGGTATTCACATATGACTGTACCAAAGTGGTATTGATAAGTATTTGTAATACCGTGTACTAACTAATAGCTTCGTTTTAAAGTTTTACCATATCAGTATCAAATTTTTACGGGCGGTATAATTTTAATACCAATCGGTAGCAAATTTAACACCGAGAAATCAACACCCACCTGACTAGGTTACCAGATTTCTAACAGTGTAGTTAATTGATCCCAATTCCTTAACCAGACCTGTGACCCAGTCGGGTCGCCCAGTTTCCGGTGTGCTGCGACCCGGCTCGTCCTCCTCCGCCCGTCCTGGGACCAGTTTGGACCAAGCGTTGCGGAGTCGTGCGACCACGGCGAGACCAATCTCCGCCTCGACGGGGAGACACGTCCGCCTGGGGACGGCGTCCATGATCTCGTCCGGCGATGAGGATGCCGCCTTCATCAATGTCTCGAGACTTAATCTGCATAAGTATGGGAGGGAGGACGCTTTGGCCAAACCACTCTTTGAATATCTATTTTACGTTGAGAACGACGCTAAAAGGGTACATAAAAACATATCTACACTCTTAAAAGTCGGAATGTTAATCGTCCCCTCGCGGTGCGCATACGTATGTATTTATGTGATTTCACCAAATGGGGATAATGTTTTTTACCACATGGTGATAAATCTTACCCACGTGGTAACAAATTGTCACTAGCTGGTGTCAATTTTATCACCATTATCACTGCGCGGTTAAGTCACATCGTTCGATGACGATTAACACCGACCGGGCTATTAAGAATGTACAAAATTGAAAGTTCCTCGAGAATTTGTCCTACAGTAAGAAGTTCACAGTCATTAGTAACTTTTAAAATCCGAAAAATTTTGTAAAACAATTTTACAAAGATTCACAAAATGAAAAAGACCTGAGCAAATTTTCAAAAATTTGTGAACTAATTTTCCTTATTTGTAAACTTCTGTAAAATTTTGTAAAGAATTTACGGATTTTACAATGTTACTGCGTGAATTGCCTCAATGACAATGCGATGATTTATGTACATATACAGGCCCTGGAACTTGCCACTGTGGGGTCTCGCTCCACGAACGTGCCTTCCTGGTGGTGGGAGGTCCAGTTGGCCCTCTGCTGGCTCCGTTTGGGACAACCACGCACCGCGGAGAAGCATTTTCGCGCCTCGCTCGCCATCGAAGCCATGCTCGTCGGGTATCTCGGACTGACCAAGGTTTATCTTAAACTGGATCAGCCCTTAGCGGCTTTGGAGTCTTGTGGGAAAGGGTTGGAACGCTTTCCTAACGATGTGAGTCTCATCATTGAGATGGCGAGGTGAGAAAAAAATTAAACATTTGGATCCTTTTTTACTATTTAAAAAAAATGAAATTTCGATTTAATATTTTCAGGATACAAGAAGGTCTGGGTGCGATGGGGGCGAGTGTAAAACTTTACAAAGACGTCCTTACTCAAGATGCGTCCAATATTGAAGCCATCGCGTGCATCGGGATGCATCATTTTTACACGGATCAGCCCGAAGTGGCACTCCGCTTTTACAGGTATACCATAAATATTAAATATGGTATTTAGCAAAATTTTAGCAAACTGTGCAAAATAATGAAGCAATTCACGCAGTATTTTTATTAACATTGTAAAATTGGAAACTTATAAACTTTTATAAATTTTAGAAATATCTCATCTGATGTGTTCGCCCTATTTGACTCTGATGAGAGCATGCCTTTAGCAGTGATTTGTCTTAACTTTTATAATTGAAATCCTACGGTGGCTTAATTAATAATATAATTAATATTTAACAAATTATTAAATTATGTACATACATAAGTACTTATTTCCTTAAGTCAGGAAAATTTACTTTGTGCAAACTTATTTACTCAAGTCCAGGAGGGCGTCTCTTTATTTTGTAAAAGTTTGTAAAATTATTTCACAAAACGTACAGATTTTAGGGTAAAATCCGTACATTTTGTCGGTACGGACTCGTAACATTTTTACGATTTTTAGGAGTTTTTACGATTTTTACGAGAATGACTTCGTGAACGTGAATTGTCTCAATTTCTGTTTAGACGCCTCCTCCAAATGGGTCTCTACACGGCGGAGTTGTTCGTAAACTTGGGTCTCTGCTGCTTCTACTCGCAGCAGTACGACATGACGCTGAATTGTTTTCAGAGGGCACTCCACATCGCGGGAAACGACACACTGCCCGACGTGTGGTACAATTTGGGTCAGATCGCCATGGGTCTCAGCGACACGACGTGGGCCGCCCAATGCTTTCGCTTGGCGATATCTTGTGATAACAACCACTCCGAGGCTTACAATAATCTCGGAGTGCTCGAAGCACGAAAGGGGAACCACGAGGGGGCCGTAGCGTTTTTTAAGACGGCCTCATCCCTGTCGCCACTCATGTTCGAACCGTTATACAATCAGGCCAAGATTGCGGATTCGGTGAGTGAATGCTTGTAATTTTACTTACAATGGAGGTCTCCTAGCATATAATCTCAGATTGTTTGGACAGATGTTAATCTATCACAAATTTTATTGATATGCAATTTGCAAAAAACACGATCTGCCAAGGAGGGTTGTCGCGGGTAGCGAAAATGCTACCTGTTACCCGACCCTCTACCCGAGATAGTTGCATCCGAAGAGGAGAAAATGCGCAGTAAATTTGGAAAGTACAAAATTTAACCTTAGTTAACCTTAGTTTTTCCTTTTCGGATGAAAATATCTCTGCCAAACATGAGTGTCAGTAGATCGTGTCTTTGGGAAATTTGATGTTAATTAAATTTGCGATCGATTGACACTAATTTGGTCAAAGTCGGAGAGCATATGCTGGGAGACCTCCCATTGTTTGTTATTGTCATGTGACATGAAATTAGCCTGATCAACTTTATGCATATAATTGGTTTGCGTTTCGTTTAGGTTGGGGATCTCCAAAATGCATATGTTATCGTACAAAAAGCCCTCGCCAACTATCCTGAACATGCCGATTCGAAACAGTTGCTGCAAAAATTGAGGGTTTATTTCGAAACTATGTAAAACCACTTGTGTGTTTTAGTGTCAAATTGAATAATCTGGTGACCAGATGACTAATCAAAGATCGATATAAGTATTGTAAAACATTTTAATATGCAAGATTTAATAAAAATACGCCGGATATTTATTTATTTATGACTTTTTCATTTCGAGCACGTCGACCCCCAAACTTTGTAGGGTTGTTTATCAACACTTATGGTTATCAAAAATTCAAAAATGTTTTCAATTTTAAAAAATATTTTGGACTTTTCGCAAATATAAATATTTTTGACAATATTTAGCCATATTTTTAAAAAATATATTTTTTTTTGTGATTATTGAATTTTTGCAGTACTTTTTCGGAGTTTTAATGTGTTTGTTTGCATTTTTTGATTTTTTTACTTGTCCTTAATTTCTTGTTTTCATGATATTATACATATTACACTAATGTGTGCATTAAAGCAAGGAAGTAAATTTTCGCGTCTCCTAAATATTCTGAAAATGTCTCATAAATCATATACAACTTGCCTACATGTGAAACGTCTCTTAAATGAAAAAAAATGTCTCATAAGTATTTACATTTGTCTCATAATATGATTCGCTATGTAAAAGCAATTTTTGCCATTTTCTGCCTTATGTTCCATACATGAAGTCCATCGCACAGCATCCAAAATACTCCCGGTTTGTTTGCTAAAGGTTTTATTTGTTCTCATTAGCTTTTTAAATTAAAGCGACGTCCCAAGTGCTCCGATTTGAATCCGGTGACTTTGACCATGACATTAACCCAAGGAAGAAAAGGAAAATCGGTGGGTGGGAGGTGCTCCAGGAGTCAATTTGAAGCCAAGAATTACTTAGAGGAGCAAAAAGAGTGGAGATATCTGAATCAATATATTTTTCAGAAAGAGAACAAATTTTGAAATATGTGTGTCGACTGGCAAAAGTGTGTAGCTCGAAATCAAGGATTGTTCTCCCCAAGGATTCAGTGAAAGCATCAGTCTAAAAGACAATAGCTAGCCATGACCATGACCCAAAACCATCTCGTGGCAATGAAAAATTTTGTCATGATAATTTAACTAATATTATCTAGTATTCAATGATGTACGAAAGCCGATCAGAGATGGTTGTCACAAATTCATCTGTATTACCAGACGGTTTTTGGGTGGCGAGATTTCTAATGCTTTTTATGTGAAAGCCCTCTCAAACCATAGGTGAACATATGTATCTGGCTTCCAGTTTTGTGCACTCTGGAAAATAATATAGGGTAAAATTTGGAAAGGTGTCATTTTGTAATTTTCTAAATAAGTGCTCTTATTAAAAAAAATGGCGTCTAACAAAAGAATTTTTCGGAGGGCATAGTGCAGAAATCGCCTTTGCGAATATTATCAAGGGACTTACTTATCATGCTTTTCACTATATAAGTAAAACTTATGTCTCACTTTTGTCTCGTGCTTATCTTTTAATTCCGTTTTGTAGTCTAATTTCATACTTGTCTGAATGGAAGGCGCTCGTGCACACAACTTATCCACTTTTAGGGCCCCCATATTTTACAACTTTGATGTTAAAAACATGAAATACAACATAATAACACCACTTGAAGCTGAGCGCATTTTTAGCATGCGCAAATTTTTACTCTCAGGAGGAGAGACGCTTTCAGATCTTGACGTCTTTTGCATATGTTGGAGTACTATATAAGCCTACTAAAACCCAGAAGTAGTTTGATTCCATGACCACATTTGCGCCCTCCACACCCACTCAAAGGCGCCAAAAACAGGACAAAATCCCGGTTTTCATGTGCTTTAAATGTCACAAAAAAATCCATATTTGCTCGGATTTTTATAAAATTTGCATTTTTTGTGATCCCAGATACTTGGTTGGTCGTATCCAGTAGATATCTCAACTTTTTTGAAATTAATAAATAATAAAGTGGAAGGTGTTTCTCAATGCATAACTACTCAAAAGTAAGACTTTCATCTTACTGGTGATACTTAAATGGCAAAAAATATGAAATTTAATCTTTTTTTAATCTTACAAAAAATCAAAAGTATCTTGTATCTTGTGGAATATTTAAGATAATTTATCTTATCTTGTATGTTGTATCTTTACAAATGCTAAAAAGTATCTTTTACTTAGTATCTAAGTATCTGTGGGAAAAACAGGGAACAAAGTATCTTGATCTAGTGTCTTGGATTTATTCCAAAAGTATCTTTATCTTGTATCTTGTATCTTAAAACAAAGTATCTTGCCCAAGCCTGGAATTTTTACAGTTCGACATTTTTCAAAAATGCAGAAATTTTTCATTTCAGAAATTTTTCGGATGAACAGACTGCGAAGGATGTGACGACGTCTGGGGTTAACATTGTAGGATAGGGGAGGGAGGAGTCTACATAACATGAGCAGATGATGGGAACCTCGAATAATGTCGGGACTTTGTCCCCCTGTCCCCCGCTTCTGCGGCCATTATCTCAAGTAGCCCCGTTTCCTGGTCATCTTAAGCACGAAACGAATTCCACCTGTCTGTTCACCAGGCAGCTTTAGCTCGAGAACACGGTTAACACAAACTTGGTTTTTTTCTCTAAAATTGTCCAAGACCGGAAGTAAGTCGTTACTAATTTTTAATTACAATTTCAGATCATTCTTCGTTAACACCAGGGTCTTTTGACTGTTTCCTTGGAGGATTTCTAGACAGGGTCATGTCAGTTCAAAAATTCTCCAAAATTTTTTTTACAGATTTTAAAGTTTGGGAATATGCGCTATTTTTGCTGGGAGAGTTTGGTTGTCAAGAAAAATAAAATATTTTATAAACCGTTTCATAAAATGACAACGATTTAATTTAATTGCAAATTAAAATAGTTATAAAATAATTGAACTAGAATCGGTATCAAAAACGGTACCTAAAAATTTTTCGCATGCATTTATGAGGTTTTATAGAATATTTTTTTTTCTTGACAACCAAACTCTCCCAGCAAAAATAGCACATATTCCCAAACTTTAAAATCTGTAAAAAAAATGGAGAATTTTTGAACTGACATGACCCTGTCTAGAAATCCTCCAAGGAAACAGTCAAAAGACCCTGGTTAACACACATTACATAATACATTACACACTAATTCAAATTCCATACTTAACGATTAACGAATTAACTGGAGCATAGTACATACAAGTAATATTTTATTCCAGATTTCGAGAATAAGCTCATCAAGGCAGTGTCCCTTCGCAGTAAAATGTCGCTGATCGCCCAGTCGCATGTAAGTAACCTTATCCAATTTACAAGTTCTTTTCTTAACAGATTTCATCATTAAGAAAATTATTTAACATGTTTTTCAGGTGGATACCGAGCGCCACGAATTTATCTGGAACATTAACAATTTCAGCTTCCTTTCATCTAATCCGAAGTACTTTGACCGGCACACTTTCCACTTCGCGGTAGGCTCCAAAATCGGCAAAGTCTCCAAATGGAAACTTTTCTTGGCTCACCGAGGGTCGAACCCTTTCCTATTTTTCCAACTGGTCGAATACACTGGCCCACACGAGCTTCCGGTCACCCTAGAAGTCTGCGTGGAGAATGGATTAGGTCACAAATACGAATTTAGTAAGAAAATTAATCAGCCAACGTTGACATCGTTAATTTTGTAACGAACTAATCCTTAATGCGTATGTAGAAATGGCCTTACGAACCTTCACCGCATCCTGTACCGAGCCGATCAACTGCAACTCGTTTAGCGGTCAGCCCTACACGACCCTCAAGTCGATTTGCAATCAGGGTGTCGGCGACACGTTGAAACTGACCATAGTCTGCATAGTCTTTGGCAACCCGAGCTTCACGATTTCGGCGGTGGATTGTTCGTCGTCATCTTTAATTATGGAGAGGGAGCAAGCAAGAACCGTTCCGCGCCATAGGGAGGCCATTCTTGCCAGACTGGAAAGCGGGGAAAGGTCTGATGTGACCTTTGTGACGAGGGATGATCAACGCATCGCGGCACACAGGCTCATCCTCTCCATGCAAAGCGCCGTATTTACGGCCATGTTCGACGCTGAGATGAAGGAGAAGACTGATGGAATCGTCAAGCTGGTCGATTTGGGGGGCGACGGGCTCAAAATCTTACTAAAGTTCCTCTACACCGGCGAGTTGGAGGAGACATGGGACAAATTTTATGAAGAGATTGTCAATGCAGCGAACAAGGTGGGAATTCATGATGATAATTATTGGTCAATTACAAATGTTTTATTTTTTCAGTATCAAATAAAATCACTGATGGACATGTGCGACAGGATGCTTCCAACCCTTGTCTCTTGGCAAAATTGCGTGGAGCTCTTAAATCTTAGCGAATTACACGGTATGACCGGTGCGAAGGAGAAGATTGAAAAATTTATGAAGAGGTGAGGTTAAAAAATATTTTTGTTTGTTCTAAAAATATATAGTATGTTTTTCTTTGTTAGTGATCCGGACAAAATTTTCCAGTTGTGGCGTGCTCCTCCATCCTCAAAGCGTCGTCGAGATATTTAATTTTTCACCTATAATAATAAATATGTAAGAAATTTTAGCCTGCATTGGGAACAAATGATTACGATGTAAATATGTCAATGTTTTGGTATTTTTTAATTTAATTATATTTGGTATTGTTAATGTTAATTCACTATTATTATGTACATAAGATTATTAAGCTAATTTCGCATTACATATTCTTTCTCTCTTGGGAGTTAGAAATTTTGGTTCTTGATATTTGATATTTTTGTCTCTCAATTGTTAAAAGTAACGAAATAATTATTTAACCTATTGATAATACTTAATTATGTTCTTGATGCAATCCCACAAATTGTATATATGTATGTACATACATATCAATACCCTCAATTTTTCATTGCTTCGCAAATTTTGGATTATTAAATGATTCAATGTTTCTGTAAACTAAAAAATCTAGCACAATGTCATAAACTTATTGTTACATGCTTTCCCCGATAAGATTCCGTCTCAGTTTTCAAATTCTTTGATTAATAATCAATTGTTACGTTATTATTTTTTTGCTAATGTTAATTTTGACTGATTGTGCGTATTCTTGAAATTTTGATTATTTCCTGTACATATTTGTTTTAAGGTTGGATTGCTATCTTCGGAAAATTAACAATTTATAGATATCCATATACTCGAAAAAAAATTAATCGTTATGAAATTATACTGACGATTGCTGTTGCTAGATGCATGTCATATGTAAATATGTATCCCAAAATGAACTTTCTTTTCAAAACTATCCCAACTTTCCGTTTGTCTCATGGTTTAAAAGGTTACGTATACATACGTATTTATATATGTATATATGTAAAATCTTGTCTAGAATCTGTGAGATGGAATGCATAAATATACATATCGTCGGACTAATTCTAAAACCACTTAAGTGCAGTCTCATCTTAATTCTAAAACCACGTAAGTGCATTCGATTCGTAATTCTAAAACCACCTAAGTGCAGTCAATGTTTAATTCTAAAACCACGTAAGTGCACAACAAAAAAGAAGGAAAATAACCTAACTGCAATTCCAAAATAATATGCAGTTAATTTTCATATTTAAGTTTATAGTATGATCACAGAACTATACTATTCTAACTTTTCCTTCTTTTTTTGTTGTGCACTTACGTGGTTTTAGAATTAAACGTTGACTGCACTTAGATGGTTTTATAATTACGAAGCGAATGCACTTACGTGGTTTTAGAATTAAGATGAGACTGCACTTAAGTGGTTTTAGAATTAGTCCGACGATATGCCCATATATTCACATCTAGCCGACAACCAGAAAAAGTATATTTCCATCGTGATTATGCCGTGAGCGTGATTTCATCCAGGGTTTACTGAAATTACATACATACATACATCTGCAGACATACATCAAAATTGACCATTTTCATGGACATTTTCTCGTTTAGTTGGGTTCCCACGGTCCCACTAAATTGAATCCAAAGCCGTTAAAAACAATTGAAAAAATGCCGTAAGCATGGGAAGCTTCATCTCAAATTGCATGCTGTTTAATTTCATCTTGAACAATGCATCCATACGGGTACATACGAAACATATGTACATTTGTATGTACATATGTACGGACGTAATTTGTATATATGTCATGTAAACCAACAAAACTCACTTTGTCACCCCTTTGCTTATTCGAAGTATGTAAGCACTACGTTTTACACCAATTACTTACTCACATAAGTTAAAGTACATATAAGTAAGCGGTTATATACGAAACCCTGGAAATCTCGTCGTCGCTTTACTTAAGTATTTTGTAACAATCAATGCGCATCTGAAATTGGACGAGAAGCCATCTCAAAATCGGGACATTATTGGTGGCAGCTGCATTTTATTTGCATGGATGAAACTTTCCCCGTAATTATGGCCCATCCGCCTGCCTCTTGTCTGCCAATCTGGTCAACAAATGACTTTATGAGATAATTCAGGCTTCGATTGGTTTCAAAACTACGCGTCATTTCTTAACCAGAAGCTTCAAATTAAATAGCCATTTATTAGAAACTTTAATATTATATTTGTCTACCAACTAGCCACATAAGTACCTAAGTTTCCATGGCAACACGTGTGTTTTATTAAACGATGCTTCGTCTATCATTTGGTGAAAGGAAATTAATGGTAACTCAGGATTCCATAAGGGTATGGTGTAACCCATTTTATGTTAATTTCCATATTGATGGTTACTTTCTCGATAAATAGAGAAGTACGTTAATTTTTATATTATGTAATTGAGTAATCTCAATCTTGTATATGGTAATTCCAAAAGAGACAAGTCTAAAAACCGAATTTCAGAAAACAAAAAAAAAGAAAAATTCCCAGCCAAAGATTGGATACAATTATGCAGATACAGACAGTTTTATTCAATGAAATATTTTCCAATTATTCATGCATATGTACATATGTAGTTGTCTTAAAATGCATGAAAGTTAGAACAGAAATGAGATGGCTAAATTCAGTGGAAATGGAAAATTAAGTACATAAATGTCTGTCTTAAACTTTGTGAAGTAATTTCTCATTGAATTATGCATATCCAGAAGTACACATCATATCTTGAGCAGAACCACATTGTACATATGTACATACATACCACAGAATATAGATTCTACCAGAAGAATCGATCTTATGTATTCGAGTGACGCTTATGGAGGAACGGGAGAGCCAACCAAATAACTCGGTGTACATTTGGCCCACCTCGGGGAGGCGCCTACGCATCATCATCATCGCCACATTTCCTGGCATCAAAAATGATGATGAAATCACCATTTTTGTTACATAGGTGGCGGTGGCACCCCTAATTGTGCACCAGAACACACCGTCGTAGAACATACTCTCTTCAGTTTCTGAGCTGCGTCTTCACAAACTTGATGTTCTACGACGGTGTGTTCTGGTGCACAATTAGGGGTGCCACCGCCACCTATGTAACAAAAATGGTGATTTCATCATCATTTTTGATGCCAGGAAATGTGGCGATGATGATGATGCGTAGGCGCCTCCCCGAGGTGGGCCAAATGTACACCGAGTTATTTGGTTGGCTCTCCCGTTCCTCCATAAGCGTCACTCGAATACATAAGATCGATTCTTCTGGTAGAATCTATATTCTGTGCATACATACATGCATACATACGTGTTTTGTAGCTTATACTCGTACTTACCACCACACAATTACGTATATCATACAGAGGAAAATATTTAGTGACATTTCAAACACAGAATTCTTGTTAGTCATAATTTCTTCCACACATCTAAGGATTGAGGTACATTTTACATACGTGCGTTGATATATGTCATATCCATGATAAATACACATAAAAATTTTAATGCACGATGCGTCAAATATGTAGATAATTACTTAGGATTAGGTATGAATGTGCATGTTGAGTAGATACATATGTATATGTACAAGGTTTACATATTAAAATACTGAAATCTTTGCAAACATGCAATCTTATTTGCAGTCATTCCTTCATGTTGAAGCATGCATGATCTGCATATGACATAAGTTGATGAAATGGGGAAAAAAATCCCATTGTCCTTTGAATACATTTGTATTCGTATGTATATAAATGTGCATTTATCTCTTAAAAAATATAACATACGTATGTGCATGCTTTGTACCTACGTAGAAATAGTGATCATCTGCATATGTATATACATGCAAACTGTGTCTTATTGTATATACATATGTATGTATGAATATCTATTTAGCTAGAAGCAAAAACACATCATAAAGCACCATTTGCATCTATGCACCTAGTAACAAAACGTACGCCTCAACAACTAAGCAGAGTACAATTTTCCATTGACTTGAGATGTCCACATATTAATATTTTTTTCTAAATTCAAAAATTATAAATTTTACCTTTCAAACAATGTACTTACTGTTGACTTTTGTAATTTGTTTAATTGCTGGAGCAAGTTGTGAGCATGCCGGATTGGCGAAAGCATTGAATAAAAGTGAACACTTATCAGCCGATCAACTCGCTGAGGGCGTCGAGGTTGACGAATCCTTTATTCAGATTCCTTCAGATCAAGATAGTTACCCAAGTAGTCAGGGATGTCCAAGGTATTACAATAAAAATATGTAAATATTTACTATAGATTTTTTACTGTGGGTATTAATGTCACTCAAAAACCTCGTTTCGCAAAACATGTTCGAAACTTTTGGCGAAATCGGTGCGACTTTTTTAAACGGAAATACATAAACTTCAAATAAGAAGAAAAATGAAAATTTACGATGACCAATTGACGACGATTTTGCGAAAAATAGTTTACGCCGATAATGAATGCCTTCTTGTGTCGCATATTTCGCAAAAAATAAAGGATTCTGATTTTGCTGTCGGTCCCATCGCTACTCTTCGAAAACATCGCAAAGTTGCAAAGTTATGATCTTTCGCAAAGTGGGGTCTACGAAGTTGACGTGAATACCCTTCCGGTTTTTTATGTAAGTTAGTAAAAAAAAATCAATATGTATGTACATAGTCCAACCGATGGTTACCCATGGGTCAAGTTTGGCACTCCGGCACGCTGCTACTTAACCGGATTTCAAGGCCCGTGTCCCCTCCACATGAAATTGTTCTACAATCTCAACTCCCCCGAATTCGGGTACTGTCAATGCGACTGCTTCGAGAATGATCCCACCTCTCCAGATGAATATTACTGCATGCGGAAGGCGACTGAATGGGCATGGGAAACGGAACTGCGAGCATACGGGTTTTCACTGGAAACGAAAGTGTGCTACCCGCTATTTTCTCAGGTATTTAAGTGAATCACCCTTAATTATCAAATTTAAATACGAACAAGTTTTACACACACTGTTGGAAGTCTGGTAAAATCAGACATTTCTCTGTATTAAAGTTGCTACCGCTTGGTACTAAAATAACACCGGTCCGTAAAAAGTTGATACCGATATGATACAATTCTAATACCGAGCCATTACTAAACAGCATTACTTACTTATCAATACCACTTTGGTAGAGTCATATATGAATACCGCTTGGTATTATTTTAATACTGGATTTCTAATAGTGCATAATTCCTTACAGGGTCCCTGCAAATCTGACGAGTGGTTCGTCATGGATTCCTCAGAAAAGATATCCACCTGCGAAAAGAGACCGTGTCGACATCCCAGAGATTCGAACGAGTTGATATTTTTGTCCAACGGTACGAAATCTTGTCAGAAGCTGGGTGAAGATTGCAAATCTGAATGCCAACCAGAAGTGAACAAGGAGAATGATAATTACAAGTTCGCCTTCGTGCAAGGGACTTGGATTCCGCAATGCATTCAGTACGAAAGCCTTGGAGGAGGAGGCGGGTTTGTTGCGACGGTTGGAGAATTAAGTTGTGAAGAAGGATTCACTTTTTCAAAATTGTTGGGAAAGTGTGTCGCCCCATTTAAAAAGTTTGGTGGAAGTATTGGATGAAGTATTGTTTTCTTAATTCTCATCAAAATTAAATTATCAGTAATAAAATCAGTCTTAACTTCTTAACCAAATATGAAATGGAAGCTTCCTTTTAAATCACACTGAATGTTAAACTGCAATAAAGGATATTCTCATTTTACCGAGTGCAAAGCTTATCATGAAAACAAATTTTTTAATCAGTGCTTCATACATACATAGTCGGGAACACTCAAGTGTCAACAGCCGATTGCTAAAAAACTACGCCACAGAATTAAATTCTGATAAGTGCATTATATTCGCCATGCGATTTACATTATGATTCACTATGGACCTTGTAATTTTTGAACATTTGGATAAATATACAGGAAATTGAAGAGAAGCGGGCGCGATAGTTTTTCACAAAAAAAATCGAAGAAAAATAGTGAATTTGACATGTGCTGAAAAAGTCAAAGGTGTACTTTAATTTAGCCCAACGGACTATAAAAACATTCATGGGGACCGAATCGACAAAGAACAGCCGAAGAAGAATTTCTTGAAAACCTCCAAGGACCACACCCATCATGAAGCCTCCCAAGCCTGGAATCCGAAGAAATTCACGAAATTCCAACGGAAACCGGGCTCACTGCTAACAATGTCGATGCAAATTATCCAATGAGTGCTCAAATTGTAGCTTAGGCCTAAGACTTTGAAATGTGGTACTTGCCACATCCTGATCGTACCCCAAAGGAAAACCAGATTAAATAAATGCAGGAGTCGCCTCAAGCGGTACGCTCCAGAAAAGTGAGCAGGATTCTTTTTAAAAATGAGGAGATTTTCACATCGGAAAAATCTTTTAACAAGCGAATTGTCCTAATCTACGCAAAATCGGTCAGAGACATCCCCCGATATAGATAAAAGGTCAGAAAGTCACATTATCCAGGTTTTTTGATGATTTTGGCAGGTGGGAGTTAATTGGGGTAATTTCTCTACATTTTGCTGAAAATTGGGGGGAGGTGGGGGAATAAAATTTCTTAAAATATGTTTTTGAGTCCGTGGTACATCCCCTAAGTGAGATCCAATTCAATGGAATCGATTGGACCTCTCAGCAGGACTCAGCACGAATTTATAGTGCAAAAAATGACCCAAGCGTAGCTAAAAAAAGAAATTCCGGTCTTTATCTCCAATCAGAATTGGTGATCATCCTTGATGGATTTGAACCACCGGAATATGAAAAATGGTCAAAGTTAGGGGCAAAGGTGTGTTCTAAGCCCCGTAGAAGTGCGGAGGCTTGTAAAAAATTTCTGACCCCGGAATGCCACAAAATGTCCCTGGAATCGGTGCGTAATTCCATCGAGGAGTGGTCGTCTCGTCTTTAGCGTGGCATTGACGCAGGAGGAGGAAATTTTTAAGACTAAAAATTGTTTTTGAATTGAAATTTATCTGGCTTTTCGGTAAAATAAATCAAAAATTGCTAAGTTGAGATTTACAAAAGTAATAAGGCTATATGTCATTGACACTTGAGTGTTTCCGACTATGTATATCCGATGAAAATTTCAAAAACAGCATACATTTCATACATATCAAGTTATCCGTTCGTTTCATGGTCGAGTTAATATGTACATATGTAGTTATCGTTTTTTCGGTATCAAGTTATTCCTGCTGTATTCCTGCTTTGTACCCGTAAGTCCGATCCAAATACTATACACACACACACATACATACATAAAAATATGTATGTATCCTGGCATTTAATCCGGCTTGAGGCGAAATCTGTACAGCATGTAAATAAATGCATATATTTGTATGTATGTAGACATGATTTCCATGACAAGAATATTAATGAGTAATGTGTAATACGTATACATACACAAGTTAATCCATATTGTACATACACATGTAAGTACATAATCTTTGCATGTGAAGATGAATAAAATGATGGTTTCGTGGATTCTGTATGTAGGTATGTGTTTGATACGTATTTACATAAGTACGTATGAGTGCAAATTTATAAGTTGCAGAAATTAAATAAAAAAGAACAATTGAATGCTTCTTTTTGTATAAACATCTTGACGAACAATTATCCGCAGAATGTTTGCGTAGCGAACCTTGCTTTGTGACACATGCTTCTATGCATACATAGATATTTGTTTACCTCCCCAGTAACAAAACGTCACTGAATTATTCTAAATACATATAAGGAGAGTGCACAATTTCCCCTTTGACTAGAGATTTTCAACATTCTAACAATTCATAATTTTCACTTAATATATAGTTGTAACCTTACTTTTAAAGAAATGTGCAGACAAATTATTTTCATACTTTTTCTAATTTTTGGCGGAACAGGTAGCGATGCAAATGGCATGGTCCATTCTGGAATTGCAAAAATATTGCGAAACATTGAAAGCTTGATGGCACAAAAACTTAGCGAGGGTGTCGAGGTGGATAATTCATTCATTCCAATATATTCAGATCACGATAGTCACCCAAGTAGTCGGGGATGTCCCAGGTATGTATGTAAATCATGTCTAGTCGCATGTTATGAACATTGAGATAAATTCACGGAGGCCTTGGTAACTTTGTAAAATCCGTAAAATCCTTACAAACCTTTACAAATATTTATGTCGAAGGAAAATTTAGCTAACAAATTTTTCTTACAATGGAGGTCTCCCAACGTATGCTCACAGATTTGGACCAAATTAGTGTCAATCGATCACAAATATAATTAGTATGAAATTTGCAAATGGTACTGTCTGCCAATGCACAGGTTTGGCAGAGATATTTGCATTCAAAGCAGAAAAAATGCGCAGGAAATTCGGAAAATGAAAAATATGCCAGCCTTTTGGTGCTTTTTCTCCTCTTTTTATGCAAATATCTTCGCCAAACCTGCGCATTGGTAGATAGTTCCATTTGCAAATTTCATACTAATTATATTTATGATCGATTGACACTAATTTGGTCCAAATCTGTGAGCATACGTTGGGAGACCTCCATTGTTAGTTTTAGGGTTGCCGCGGGTAACGGGTCGGGTACCCGTTACCCGCATACCCGCATGATTCTTGCGGGTACCCGTTATCTGCGGGTAGCGATAACTACCTGCACGGATAACGGGTAGTTCAGTTTTTATTTAATTTTCGACAGTTCACAAAAGTTCAGTTTGTCCATTTGCCAACAAAAGAGTCATTTTATTATTTATCCATTTCAAAATTTGCCATTTTCCAGCAACAAGGGTTTATAGCGAGAGTGTCTTTTCGGAAGCCACAGAAGCCTACGGCAGATTTAAATGCTTTTCACGTCCCGAAAATGCGGAGAAATTATTGTTACTCAAGTGTAATTTGCCTGCCTAAAATATCAGTAATACGTTAACTTGTATTTGTGTGTATTTATGTAAGACTGACGAGATTTTAATTTATGCTTTAAAGGTGATAAGCCTAATTACGATTGACAGCTAAAATTTTATTTGTAGATAATTCTTTTAAATTAAAATTACTTTTAAATCAAGATTTCAAAAAATCAAGCTAAAAATTGGCACACCAAGATACACCACGATTGTCTAAGGAGTATATCAAAAAGTCCAAAACTAGGAATCGCTTGATAGTTTCCTTTGAATGTCCACTTTGAAGAGAAATGTTAGCGGCAAAGTTCAATTTTTAAGCAAATGGTCTGCATCTTTTTCCTCCACTGAACTAGAACTATGATGGGCTTTGAACTCTTCCCCCCAAATAGTATTGTTTAAATGGGTTATTCAACGGAAAGATACGTGATAATTCCAAATTTTTGGCGTGATTTTTTGATGTAATTCGGTAAGAAATTCCTATGTAGCTGTGTAAAAAAGGTTCAGGCACATTCCATTTCAACTCACACGTTGGTTCTCGCACCCATATTTGATATCGTGTCTATATTATTATAATAGGTGCATGATATAAAATTGAACCTACCATAACAATCAAAATTTGAAAATTAATTTTTTTCGACAAGATATAACTACCACAACAAAATTTGAAAATGCATTTAAAATGCTGTCGTTGCCCAAGTATACATAGATTCAACGGGGTAGGTTACATTTACGAATTTCATTCATTAATGATTCGTTGATAGAAAAAATTCAAAAAAATTCAAAAATTCAAAAAAATCAAAAATTTGCAATGCATTGAAAAACTCGATTATAGAGAAGACCGACAAAAATCGCACGTAAAGAGATAAGCCAATCGATGCCTTTGGGCCTGATGCAACAAAAAAGTTTAAAACCTCACCCGATTTTTGTCGGTCTTGGAGTTTTGGCGATTTTTCTGAAAGGTAGAGTTAACATGGGCTGCTTGTGGAGAGACAAGTAAATAATTCTGCGTTCCTACATGGCCGGGAACATTGACGAAGTATAAGTTGTGTGCTGTTCTCTGACAAAAGAGAGGAAAATACATGGCCAGGCAGCCAAACCCAGCGAGCAGAGTTTAGCACCTCTATTTTCTGGTACTCGATCAAACGTGTTGCTTACAAATGGAATGAGCCTTCAATGTAAGCCAAAAAGTTTTTGTTAGAAGCATCTAATGAAATCTAGCAAATTATGGCATGCGTTATTTCCACAGCATTATCTCAAACTACTGAATAACCCAAATGGGCAAATAATTGATTAAACATAATTTATTCTGAAGCTTGGTTAGTTTTTAACTTAATTCTGATTACGGGTAGCGGGTAACGGGTCGGGTAACGAGTAGCATTTTCGCTACCCGCGGCAACCCTAGTTAGTTTACTTAGATATATTTCTATCATAGAAGTTTATACCAGGTGGAGTAAAATTATTTTACAGGGTTACGGAATTTGCAAAGTTACCGAGGATTTCGTGCCTTGTCTTAAGGGGGGGTGGGACAAAAGGGGGATTGGAGAGCATGTCATCGAGTGGCAGATGGGTTGACTATGTTGTCTCAGCTCGTCGGTCACTAGATGGCGATTGTGAGGCAAATTTCAATTTCAAATTACCTGATTAAAGTCCAGCCCTCCATTCGAGTTCCACTGGATCCACGATTACATTAGCCGAATGACCGAATTATTTTATTATTTAACATCAGTTATTTTTATTTTGGCGTAGAAATCTTACGAAATTGTATAATTTGAACGCCAAAATAAAAATAACTGGTGTTAAATAATAAAATAATTCGGTCATTCGGCTAATGTAATCGAGGATCCAGTGGAACTCGAGACAATTACTTGAAAAAAACACATTTTTTTATTTTCAAACTCTAATTTCTTGGCGAATAATCTTTCTACGTCAAGTGTTTTGACATTTTTGGAATCAGTGATACTTGTACCACAATAGTACGACCAGTTGCCTATGTCAAATTATAAGGTGGCCCTCCCACGTGACAAATTCCGCAAAAATTACAAAGAGCCAGTTGGACATGGATTGAAATATATAATCTATCAACTGTGGTCGTACTATTGTTGAGTATGAATTTATGAAGAGAATGACACCAAGTTATCCAAATTTGATAGTCTGTAACCCATAAATTTACAACGTTTGTCAAAAAACGATTTACGTTAAGGCTTATGCACTGTGAGGGTGGACGTAGTTCAAACACAGCGGATAGAGATCGGTGAAACTGTGTCAGATTTCCCCTTAATGTTAGATATTAACATATTATGCTACCAAGCATATTTACATGTTTATTTACATATGCATGCATATAGTCCGACCAATAAACAGGCATGGGTCAAATTTGGCACTCCACCACGCTGCTACCTGACCGGATATCAAGGCCCATGTCCTCTCCATATGAAATTGTTCTATAATATAAATTCCCCCGAATTCGGGTATTGTCAATGCGACTGCTTCCCTAGCAATGTCACCTCTCGAGACGAGTACTACTGCATGCGGAACGTGACGGATTCGAATTACGGAACAGAATTGCGAGCGTATGGGTTTTACGCGGATACGAAATTGTGCTACCCACTTTTTTCTCAGGTAAATCCTTATTCTTGGCACTGTTAATTGGAAAATTTACGAAAATATTTTCCACTTAATTTGTGAACAGGGTCCCTGCAAATCTGACGAGTGGTTCGTCATGGACTCTTCAGAGAAAATATCCACCTGCGAAAAGAGACCCTGTCGACCTCCCAGAGACTCAAACGAGTTGATGTTTTTTTCCAACGGTACGAAATCTTGTCAGAAGCTGCATGCCGGATGTCGTCCTGAGTCTCCGGACGATTCCGCCAATTATAAGTTCACCTTTGTGCGAGGGACTTGGATTCCGCAGTGCATTATGTATCTCGGAGGGGGAGGAGGTTTTGTGGGGTCGGTTGGTGAATTAGATTGTCAAGAAGGATTCACCTTTTCAAAATTGTTGCAAAAGTGTGTACCACCATTTAAAAAGTTGCGTGGAAATGTTGGATGAATTGTAAACGATAAAATACTTTATAAATTATTTTACCGTTTGCAATGGTTTTAACAACAAATATCATACATGATATTTGTTGTTAAATCCATATTAAATGTACATGAAATGCAAGTTAAAATAATAACAGTTTGATGATCAATGTGTATATTTAGCAGTGAGAGGGAATTAATTTGGAAAACTTTGTCAACAATGAAACTGTCAACAATGGAGAAATTGGAATTGTTTTTCTGACCTTGTGACCTTCATTTCGAGAAGGATAGAATTTTCAAATTAAATAGGTCAAAAACTGGTATAGAGTAATGAAAGTTCTCAATATTACCTACATAATCGGTTACTGGGATAAGAACATAAGCGCAAAGTTTCGTAACTCATCAACAAAGTTGGGGTAGAATATGTCGTCGTTTAAGGAACAACGCGACAATGAGGAATCCGCACGAATTTACTTACTTTTACCTTATCAATCGGCACAGGTCGCCCCAATAAATTCTGCCTGTCTCATAAATTACCTTGCTGAATAATTCGTATGCATAAGCCTATCCTCTTGATCTCAAGGTGGTGTTGTACAAGAGTAATGGTCTGTTCATAAAGGTCCCCGATATGTAGACCGTCTTCTCGGGCAAAGGGGAAATAAAATTGGGTCTTAAACTTTAACCAACAACGACGATCTACATACATAATACGGTAACAATGACTATGTATCCAAATACATACATTATGTTTGCATCTAACCATAGTAGTGCATTATGTAACATACCGTATATAATGCGCTACCATGGTTACTTTACTAGTAAGAAACAAAAACTGTAAATGACATGTTTCTGCAGAAGTAATTTTCAAGGAAATAAAAAATTCCTGACGCTAAAATAAATAAACTGACGAAGTAAAAGAAAATGAACCTAAATATTTACTCACATGCATGAAAATGTATGTATGCAGTTTCAATGCAAATAAAATGAAATCCTTCACCCTAACCTAAATGAAATCCGATCCTATAAGGTTCTGTGCATAAAATATGTTATCCTTTTCAGGCAGCATCCTTCCCATTTAACCTTTTCCTTCGTATGAAAATTCTCAAAAATATCCCGTTGCTGCGGAATAGCAACGCTTCGCGACCACACTTGTGGCGTAGCAATTTTTTAATTACCAAAGCATTATCACGGAGCAAATGTAAATTTTAGTGATGTGTTCCATGGATATATTTCCAAAATTATTCAACTTTCTGTGTAGGCATTTCATTACAAAAATGACATGCAATCATGGAGACATTTTAGCCCGACCGAGGACTTATGTACACGTATTGTCCATCCGTCTGTCTTGCGTCTTAACCTTCGTGAAACTTATTCTATCAACTTGAAATTTTGGAAAATTAAACATGACAAAGTAGTAGTACAAAATTTAAAGTCGATAAGATAAGATTTTCGAGAGTTATTGATAACTAGACAGGCAGAGACACACCGAGCAAAGCGGGTACATACATACGTACATAACCCCTGACTAGGGCTAAAAATCGAATTTTTTTTCAAGATGCGTAAATCCATGGAAAAATTTTTTGAATTTTTTCAATGAGAGGAAATATCCTTCACTACGCAATAAGGTTAATTACCAGAGGAAAGGATATTTCCTTCTTTCCGTATCTATGCCGAATTTTGAGACAACGGATAAATCCGTTGCTCCGTCGCAACGCCTTGGAAATTAGGATGGAAATATCCTCTGTTCCGTCACAACGCCAAGTTTATGACGACGGATATTTCCATTGTTCCGCAGCAACGTTCGAAATCCGGGGACGGATATATCCATCGTTACGAAGGAAAGGGTTAAACCATAACATGCATAGTCCAGCAAGATCAAAATTCTCTCCCAAATCCGTCCTATCCTAAATAAATACACATCCGGTGAAAGTTAAAACCTGCACAACCTCTCCAAATCACTTTTCTCACCTTCCCCACCCCAAATACAGAACGGACCCCTCACACAAATCACTACACTCAACAAGTCCAAAGCCATTCCTGTCTGCCTAGCTAAATTTTATCTCACTTGACTAATGATCCCCGACCCGCTAGAGCTTCGCCTCGCCTCTCCTCTCCATGAATCCTTTCTCTCCTCTCCTGGAGGATGCAGAGACATCAAACTAATTTGCATCCCATTGTCACATGTCACATCAGAGAGAGAAAGTCACAGCCAACCAACCAACCATCCAACCAGCGGAGTCGAGTCGTCCTCTCTAATTTAATGATCCTATACAACATTGATTACTGTTCTCGCTTTCACTCCTCCTCGCCCTACTTTCCCTCGAAAAGGAGGATGTCCATTGTTCCCGGCTGAAAAATTACCTCACGCTTATCCTCGAATACATCAAAGTATTCGTACCCTGAATGTACGAGGCCTACATAAATCTCAGGCAGCCAGCCGAGCCTGAAAGTGAAGTGAAAGTCGTAGTGAAAGTTGCGAGATTACTACGTAAGCTCACCAACCAGCTTAAATACAGATATGTATGTATGTAGTGTATAACGAACGAGTAAATTCAGTTTCTATCAACATTAAACCCTTCTCCTCTCTCGCTCGGATTAGTTAGCCCGCGTGGTTATTACTTTTTTGGATGAAATTGAATTTTCTTTTGAGAGAGAAACAAAGAAATCTAATTAGAGGAGGCATGCAATAGTGGAGGAAGAAGGGGAGAAAAACAAATACAGAGTAATTTCACAGATTAGTAGTTTTCAATTTTTGTCTGCTTATCTTGAACCGTATGCCAATAAAGTAGAAAAGAATAGTGATACAATGAGGAATAAATGCGTATCAAGTGGTGTCATGACCTTTTGACCGACACTCTTAAAAAACTGGTACTAACTTATTATGTAACTGGCTGGAGTACATATGTATGTATGTATATGATGCTAGGGGCATGGTAATGGCGAGAATTACGGTTCAGTAATGTTGTGGTAATGAAAAATTACAAACTACTATACTACTCCGGTAGTAAATTACTACAGGTTTAGAAAACTGGTATTAAATCATTACTGACCGGAGTATATATGACTCTACCGGCACGGTAATAATGGGAATTTTACCGTTTAATGTTCTAGTAATGAAAAATTTGCCACTCAGAAAGAAACTACTACCACTCCGGTAGGAAGTTATTACCAAATAAATACCAGTACGATGTTTACCAGATTTTTAACAGTGTACAATATCAAACAAATGCGTATCATGACCTATGCCTATGCATCACCTGGCGCCATGACCTTTTGACTTCCAAGAACTCCTTTTTCATTCTCAAAAGTCTATTTCCAAAAACAGCATTTAGAAAGGTGAACACGTTCCCTCTTGTCATCCCGTTGACGGACAGACAGCCAGAAAGATTAATAAAGGCAGGAAGGTTATGCAACCGTTATGCTGTTCCATCCTACATTCAGCAACAAGTTCATAACTCCAGAAATACATAACTCCATCACATTTTTATCTTCCTGTCAAGAAAGAGAACAAGTCGAAGAGAAGATGTGATTATACTTACTTTAACGGAATATTTTATTCTCCTCTTTTCCATGCATTGATTACCAGAATCGATTGAATTTTATTACCCGGCCAAGAAACCATTGTAAGTAATCCGCAGCCTTCATTTGTTATTCGTACGACTTTCTCCTTTATTTATTTCGTATGCTTTTCTCCACCAGAATTACGTACGTGGCATCAGTGGCCGCGCAATCCGGGGGGAAATATGTATGTGGGGACGGTAACATTGTAGGTTTATGAAGGGGCGTTTCCTACACTGTTAAAAATCTGGTAAAGTCACTTAGGTATTGATTTCTCAGTATTAAACGTGCTACCGATTGGTATTAAAATTGTACCATTTCATACAAATTTACTACCGTAATGGTCAAAATTTAATACCGAGTTATTCCTACACGGTATTACTTATCAGTATCACTGTGGTAGAATCATATATTAATACTGTTTGGTAATGTTTTAATACTGAAATTTAACACGGGCAGATGACGGGGACATCGAATAACCGTAGTGACATTGTCCCTCTGTCCCCTCATTCCGCGGCCACTGCTTAGAATTACTTACATACCAAGAAAGAGCTCAGCTCATCCCTCCGTAATTTACCATCTATTTACGACTAACGAGATTGGATCCGTTATTACAAAAACAATAGAAAAAAATCCATAATGCATGAAAACACGGGAGTAACACAAAACCACTTCTACATGAATTGGCTACCGAGCGAAAAGCGAATCAATTTTCAATTCCATTTTTCTTTTCCTCTCCTCTTAAATAAGTAGAACACTTGAGACAAAAGGAAGTGGATTGGATTTGACATCATTTCTGTGGGAAAGTGTTTTTTAAATAAAAAATAAATAGAAAGAAAGCGCGGTCTGGATGCGATATTTACCAGAAATTCAATCTCTTTGTCCTCCATTGTCTTTATTTTTAGTGGTGCTTCTTTTCCTTTTCTTGACAAACTTTCTCCCTCCATTCAGTTGAGAAGAATACATACACGAGCTCAATTGCTGGCTGTGAGAAAACCCAAAAAAGTGCACGTATCGTGCATGGCTCTTGATATATTTCTGAAACGAGAGACTTTCTCTCTCTCATTCTGTGTTAAATACGGAGTGAAAAGCGGGCAGAAATCTGCTGCGAAGTTGAATCGATTTTAAGCAAAAGTGAAGTGAGGAGAAAATTCGGATGAATTTTGTGTACAGTCTTTCACCAGAGTTCTGACGGGGTGGACGTGTTTCACTGCACTGCTTTCACTCATTGACCAGAGAGTCTCATTGTTAAAGTGGGTTTGTTTGGTGGGATTTTTGGTGTTTACATAATTTTCCTGGGGAAACGATATTACTTGTGAATTCTGCAAAAAATTACAACGATTTAGATTATCTGGCTAAAATTTAGGGTAAACTTTCATACATAAGATTGAGAAGAGCGTCTCATGATTTTTTTAAAGCTACTAATAAATTAGACAGATTTATTACCGGTCGTTTGAGCCTTTGAGTATGAGTAACTTTACTAAAACGATTTACTCCGCAATTTCTAATCCAGTAAATTCAGTGAAATTAAAAGTTTATTCAACAGTCTACGAAATGTGTGGAGCAAATCTGGATTAAAATCTACAGACTTACAGCGTCTCAAACTTTTTGGCAAGTTATACAAAAAAACGTTTTCCTACCTGCAGATTTAAGGAATCGAGCACAGTTTTTTTATATAATTTTCTAAAACAGATAAAAAATCTAATTATGAAAAAAAAATTTGAAACAATTTACTCGCCTATTTGTAACGCCATAAAATTCTTAGGTATCTTGAATACAATGTTTTATCCATTACCGAAACTAAACACTACCTTAACTTTACAACACATTTGATCTCTAATTCTACACGTGGTGAAGTTTTCCCCTGAGTTCTCTTCGCTCGAACTGAATCCTAATTACGAAATAATATTTATTTTCCAGCCTTCGAACATACCACTCTCCAGAGATGGATATTGATTAAATATCCAACTGTGCGTTTTATTACGTAATCTGCTTCCTTCCATTCCATACAAACGTACAGACAAAAGTCTGTTTTGGCAACTGTTGTATCCCATCCAACCGCGTGCTGTGGCGTCAAATCTGGTGGCACGTAGATACGTACCCATTTCCAGACTTATAATTGTTACCACAAGAACAGTAAACATTATTTGCATCTGGGCTCATCTCGCGGAAAAGAAAATTAATATCTCTGCCTCCCTCGCGACAACTCATCACCATCATCATCAAAATTTATTCGCAACTTTTTCATCACCATAATTTTGACTTTGTTCTCGAAAATTTTCTTTCAAAATTTCCAGAAGAGTTCATTTATTCAAATGTGCTTCTTAATAATCCTTCCGAACAAAAAAGTCTTTCTGGCTGTGCAATAATGATAATCTTTCTCTGTTTGAGTGATTAGTTGGAGGAGTGGATTTGTTAGTTAACCTATGGGGTGGTGTGCATAAATTATGTGAGAATTTTTTAAAATTAGGCAAAAAGTGCAATTTTTTTCCGTGTTACATTGTCAAAAATCTGGTGGATAACATAGCTTGTGTTGGTATTAATTTGATAGTAATTTGTTTCTGAGTGGTTAATTTTTTATTACCATAACATTACTAAACGGTAATGCTCGTTATTACCGAGCCGATTGAGTCAAATTTATACATATGTAAATACTACGGGCAGTAATGAATTAATACCAATTTCGTAAGAGTGTACCCGGATAAAAATAAGGGTGAAAATTCTCCGAAAATCGCCCACTTTCTTTACACCCGGCCCCCGACTTATCTTCGCGTGCTTATCTGACAACGAAATTAAAAAGATCCATCCAACCAGGCTGACAGCTCGGAATCGTTTAAACTTGTAATTAATTTTCGTCCTCGTACTTGTAACCGACCACGCGGAAATTAAAAAAAGTGTGTATTTTTGGTGTGATACCACTGCACCGTGTTGCCATAGAAACGTGGAAATCAGAGGAGGATGCCCCCCACGATTCGTTCCTTGCCCCAGGTGTGTGTCCATCGTAACGGAAATTGTCTTCTTTTTTGTCCTCTTTCTCGCTAATGTCGTGTATCTCAATTGAAGCCGTATTTGTCATCGTTTTGCAGGTCTGCGTCCTCTTCCTTTGTGCCAGCTTGGTCTCCGTTGGCGTGATTTATTTCCTCAATGCTGAAGTCGAGGCGAGGAGGAGGAGGGAGCACCAGCACGGTGAAATGGATCGCGGAACAATAATGGACAATAGGCCAGGTAGATGTGTAATATGCACTCTAAATAATGGTGGTAACATTTTTTTACCGGAGGAGTGGAGCTAATATAATTGGAAGCGATACGATAATTTTTAAGAAAATACAAATTGTTACCAGACAGTGGAAAATTGTTACCCGTGGTTTGTACTGATCTTTGAAAATTTGTATTGATATGTGCACGTTTCCCACGCGGTACAATCATCCATTTGGTAACGGTGTCTAATGTCTGACTGGTAAAAATTTGGTACCAAATTGTAACATTTATGAGACGACCGAGATTCAATTTTAAAGTGAACAATAGGACCCAGGACATTTAAAAAAAATTGATAGAATCAATTTGCTAGCAAACTTTTTTTACCGGATTTATGTAGTTACCTGGGACTACAAATTTCTACAAAATTACGCACACATGTAACCCATTCGCTCCCATCTTTCCTGAGCGGTAATAAAAATTGGTCCCCGAAATGTAAACCAATTTTCCCTGAAAATAGAATATTCTAGTTTTTTTAAGACTAAAAATTAAATTTTTTATTAGACAATATTTAATTTTATGTATTTATTTTATGTATTTATTTTCTATGTATCTATGTACATGACCCGGTAACAATTTTGTTACCAATAAATTTCCACGGTTATCGGTTTCCCTTCTTGTTTTTATACACAACTACTAATTTTATGTGAATATATAACCAGGTATATATGCATTTTATCTCCCTCACAGGCATAATTTTCCCCAAAATGCGGTAATATTTCATAAATTTCGTTCTAATATTTATACCCTGAGCACGTATGATTTTAAAAAGTGACTGATTTATCGGAGGGGGAAAGCTCTTGTACTTTCTCCCACCCGTGTAAAATCTGAGGTGAAAAGGAAATTTCCGCAAACCGGGTCACCCACTCTGACTTTCATTGAGACCGGATTTTCCATCCCTGTGTAAGAAAAGAGATTTAATAAAATGTATATACACAATACGGAGAAGGGCTCTCACCATGGAGAAAGTCTGGCATATTTGGATTATGTAACATGTTTTTTTGTACGAAATTTATTTTTTTTACCTTTTTTAAAACCATTATTTTTTATTTATTTTGTCTACCAAGAAATAAATAAGTGTATGTAGAATTGAAGTGAAAAACAAGAGGGTACTAAATGTTGCAAAATATTTATCAAATTGCGTCGCAAATTTTTAAAAAAGCATCACCTTCAATTGAAATGGAAACCTATATAAAATTTAAAAAAACGAGACAAGAATCTCAAAATATTTTCAAATTTTATAACAATGGTACTTTTGTTTATTTATTCTAGTCTTATGCTCTATTTATCATAACGTATTTAAATATTTTCAGAGTTACGAATTGAAAACTATGAAAATTGTATAAAATAACGTGAGACAATCCCACAGTTCTTGGTAACACGTAAAATCCTTGCACTTTATAAAACAATTTTACAAACTTTTACAAAATAAAGATACGCCTTTGATCTGAGGAAGTTTACAAAAATTCGTAATCTAATTTTGTTAAGCAATATTTGTAAAATCTTGTAAAAGTTTGTAATGTTACAGATTTTACAATATTGCCAATGCCTGCGTGAATCGCAAGTTCATTGACACATCCGAAAATCCGATCTTTAAAAGAAACACACTTCTCTCAAATAAATCAAAAATCATGTCAAATCTCCATAACACACTTTCTTTCTCTTTTTTCTTTCCAGAAACTCTTCAAATTCCGGAACATCATCACCTCACATCGTCCCAAAATCCCACCTTCCTCTCCACAATCTCCTCTTCGATACGGCACCAGTTCACCAAATTCTATACAAATTTCCGTCACGGTTTAGACAAACTGTCCTCGTCCAGTCGGCGAAGGAAACGTGAGCTGAGCGAAACCACTGAAATTATTAATCAAAATCAAGAAGATCTGCCCCACCGACGTCGCCACCACCAACACCACAACAGACAACGACACGACCAGGACGACCAGGAGGACAAAGCCGCCCTCATCATAACAAGTCATCCCGTAAAGAAAACAGTACTCGAGCCGTTCACAAAGGAGCAATGTTATCACACGGACGATGTCCTACTCGTCGTCGCGATTACATGTTTACTCAACTTCAGCTTCGTCTCAGTGGTGTGGTGCTCGGTGAGATGTTGTAATCGAAGGAGTGGGAGGAGGACGTGGAAAATTAAGAAGAAGAGGAGGAGGTACAATAATAAGAGGAAGAATAAGGGGGCACTCAGTTGGGAAGAAATGTGAGAAAAATTATGATTTTGTGGTTATTTTGGGAATCGGCGTACTCATGTCAACGCATGGTTTAACTGGGCTATATATATTGCATAATAAAATGTGCGATATAGTTATAAACATTTTATGGATAAATATGAAGGCAAAATTTGTATACATATTTTTATACAAGAGGAGCAAAATCTTGAAATTTTCGCATATGTACTTTAGATGATACAATTTTTAGCAAATTGAACATAATTTTAGCATAGTTTGTCCAGTTTTTAAAAAATTTATTTTCCAGCAAAAAATTTATGGGGCTTATTGTTCTCAGGCTTATCTAGTAAATAGGAATATTCATTTCTCATACTATTTTTCAAATCAGTTGCGATGCGAAATGAGACTTTGACGTGGTTATGCCCAGAATATTGTAGGCATTTATGAAATAAATTCCTTAGTTAATATCCTGCATAGTCATTCTTGTAGAGAAGAGGTAATTCGTTCGGCTTCTTTTTTTCGAAAGAAAATGCAATTTTTCGAATTTTGCACTTGTCCCATGACGTGGATGATATAAAACTTCCATGTCCAGGTATGTAGATAAGTGCCACGTAGAACTGGCGGGGTAAGACGACACAGTCATAAAAAACCAACTTACCTTACCTAGATCTCTAACAATGATAAATATCACAAATTACAAAATAATACCAGAAAATATATACCACCCTAAATTCTAAGCCGGCCTCACTTTCCCTCACTAATTTCCACTCTTAAGTACTTACTAAAATCTAATACTTTCTCTCTTCCTTCCTAATTCCAGGTCCTCTTCTGACTCAACATCCTGCACTTCATCGACCGACGATTCCGACTGCGACGACAATCCTCCTCCCCCCGTAAAAAGTTATTCCATGGAAGAACTCAGATTTTATTACGGTTGACATACATACATCCACCCATCCACCCATACTTAAATAAATACATATATACAAACCGTACCTGTGTATCTAATCTATGTGTATACCCTCTGATTTTCTAATAATAATAAAACCTTCACACGACAACAATAGATGTTGATTTTGACGACTAATTACATCCCACGAGGAGATCCTCTCAATCAGTGTCGTCGTGTCCTCGACCAAGTAAACAAATCCACTTAGCGAGTGAGAAAGATCATCCTTTGTGTTGTCCTCTGAGAGGAGAAAGTTGATGACTTGGGGCGATTTGAGAAAATAAAGTGGAGGAGAAAGTAACTTTTCCTGGGGAAAACTCAGCAGGAGAGAAAGTGCACTTGGTTCGCAGTCAAGTGGTTTTTCGTTCCCCTTAATGTCTTACACTTTCTCTTTTCCCCACTTTCTCCATGGAGGAAGGATTGAAAATGATGGCTTTTATCCACTCCGACGTACATACTTTACTTACTCTGTCCAACGGTTATGTTATGATGATTAGTCGTAGGTCATTTGGTTTCATGGGGATGTGTGTAATCTACCAAATGTGTGGTGGTGGTGGTAGTGGTGCAGGGAAGGATCAATATTTTATTAAAACACCATTTCCTGGGGAGAAAGTAGGGTTGCGAAAATTAAAGGGGGGAATTTGGTTTTTATTATTTATGAGAAATTTTTAAATGAGCAGATTCTGGTTAGAATTCTACGATTTTTACATATTTCATTTAGAAATATGCAAAGAATTTTTGAAATTTGTTTTAAAAACTATGCAAATTTCGTGATGTTTTATTTTCTCCAACATCAGTAGTAAAACAATACAGAAAGATTTTGTTTTACATATTAATCTACGATTTGTATTTCATTGAGATTTAAATATGTACGTAAGGAACTAATACATAGTTGCCAAAAACATGCCAGATTAAAAACATGTTGCAAAAATTTTGCAAATTTTACTTTCTACCCAATTCTAAAACACAAGAATAACTTTAATCCCTCTAAAACACCACCCCACACGAACCCTGGTTGCAGAAGGTGCTGGAGAAAGTGGTTCGTTCGTTGGTTGCCTGGCTGGTTGGTCGATGATGATGATGATGATGGGCAATTATATTTTCATCAAGATTAAATGAACCTAATGAACGACCACTTTATAATCAATCATTTTTAATTATGATTAAACGTTTCTGTCCGAGGTGAATAGAGGGAAAGTTTGTGAGGTGTTATATGCACACTTTGCGCTACATACGAGGCGAGACGATGTGTGCTCGAGGCTATGCATGTTTAACCTGCAGACCAACTTTCTCCTCTCATCTCATCTCTCCTTTTACCACCACCAAGACCACGACCAAGACCACTTTCTCATCTTCTTCTGCTCTTCTCTCCACTCCACTCCGGGCAAAATTATACCTTTGCATGTCAAGAGAAAGTAAGGAGCGAGAGAGAGTCGACTACTTTCTCTTCGACTCAATGATTGACAAAGTTTATAAGTTGGAAGGAAGGATTTTCGCGAAACACGCTACTCACTCATATGTAAGACAGGCCTTATGAGAGCTAAATGTAAGCTAAATGTGGATATGTCTGGCTTTGTGGGGTCGGTTGAGACAAAAATTTTGAAAGCAGCATCTGTTTGTGTTTGAGATAAGTGGAATACTTGTTGTGGGGAAATTGAGAATGTACAATTTTTGTATTAAATTGCAAACGAAGTGTAAAAACAAATCTGGGAATCCTTAATTGTAAGCCCACTTAAATAAAAATATATTTTTGAGAGTGGGACCTGGCTCGGGCTTTGCCAAGTCTGCTCCTACTGGTCCATGGGTTTTCATTATTGCCATCCCAGCTAATTTTTTTCTCAAGTTTTGTTTCTTAATTTTTTAGAAAGTAAGTAAAATATATAAGGCACGAAAAAATACTTATGGCACCGTAAATAACCCAACAGCAAGGCTAATCTCACACTAAAACCCAGTTCATCAGTACACACATACATACATGTATGTACATACATTCTAGTAGGGTTGCCGCGGGTAACGGGTCGGGTACCCGTTACCCGCATACCCGCACAATTCTTGCGGGTACCCGTTATCTGCGGGTAGCGACAGCTACCCGCACGGGTAACGGGTAGTTCAGTTTTTATTTAATTTTCGACATAAATCAGTTCACAAAGAAAGTTAGCAGCAGGTTAGTCCATTTACCAACAAAAGCGTCAATTTATTATTTATCCAATTCAAAATTTGCTGTTTTCCAGCAACTAGGGTTTATAGCGTGTGTCTTTTCGGAATCTACAGTAGCCTACTTCAGTCTCAAATGCTTTTCACGTCCCGAAAATGAGGAGAAATTATTGTTTCTCAAGCATAATTTGCCTGCTCTAAAATATGAGTAACAATTTGACTTGTATGTGTTTATGTAAGACTGACGATATTTTAATTTATACTTTAAAGGTGAAAAACTTGAATCCGATTGGAAGCAAAAATGTTATTTATAGACGATTTTGCAATTAAAACTTCATTTAAATCTAAATTTAAAAAAATCAAACTATAGATTGAACCTTCTTTCAAGCTACACCAAGATTGTCTAGCAAGTATAAGTATTTAAAAGTCAAGCCAAAAATTAAGAATCGCGTGATACTTTCCGTGGAATGTCCACTTTAAAGAAAATATTGGCGGCTAAGTTCTATTTTTAAGTAAATGTTCAGCAACTTTTTCCTCCACTGGACGAAAACCATGGTGGTCCTTGAACTCTGCCCCTAATAGCTGTCTTTAAACGGGCTATTTAAGGCTAGCCTCCATGACGTGGTCGTCTCAAAAAATCATTGAGTAATTTAAACTGCGCGAAATTTGCACCCCCTCTGGACTTTGAATTACATTAGCCGAATGAGCCGAATTATCCTATTATTTTACACCAGTTATTTTTATTTTGGCGTTCAAATTATTCAATTTCGTATGATTTCGTATAATTTGAACGCCAAAATAAAAATAACTGGTGTAAAATAATAGGATAATTCGGCTCATTCGGGTAATGTAATCGCGGATCCACGGACTCATCGCAAGATTTCCCATACGTTTACATACACAAATACACAGCAATATTAATAAATTTCAAACTAATTTTTCGTGACTTAGAAATCGAATTTCGAAATTCTGTACACCGCTATTGTTGATAATTAGCTGCTCAAAAATATGCATTTAAAATTGATCGATATGGATAAGCCAATTTTGCCTGATGATTAGCATGTGTTCTTATGGAATTTACACTATTTGTGGCATCCAGCCATTCTCAAGCTACCAAAATGTTTGATGTCGGCTCGAGTACAACGACAACGGGATGGTCTACAATATCGTCGACCAGAATTTCGAAATTCGTCCTAGTTGCTGAGATTTAATTAAAAATGTAGGGTTGTGACGTCACTGTTATGACGTAGGCGGCGCGTCATGGAAGCTTGCGTTAAGGAAGAGATAACTGATAATTCCTAATTTTTGGCTTGATTTTTTGATATAATTCGTTAAGAAATCCCGATGTAGTTTGAAAAACGTTCCATTGCAAGTCAAAAAGTTTGGTTTCAGAAACAACTAGTGACATTCCCAAAACAAATTATGGCATGCATTACTTGCGTATAGCATTATCTCAAACTACATATCAACCCAAGTGAGCAAATAATTAATTAAATCGAATTTATTCTGAAGTTTGGTTAGCTTTTAACTTAATTCTCATAACGGGTAGCGGGTAACGGGTACCCGCACGGGTACCCGTGCGGGTACGGGTAGTTGTGCTACGGGTAGCGGGTCGGGTAACGGGTAGCATTTTCGCTACCCGCGGCAACCCTACATTCTAGTACATTCGGCAGGGTAAGGTGAAAACGAACATGTTGGAGTTCAGGATCTTTTCATTTATTTCACTTTGCTAATTTTTTTGCAAATACGTTCCAAATATGTCTTTGAGACAAATCGTTGCCCGCGGAGGTACTAAATATAGTTCTCTATTTTTGGATAATTAAGGAGACGTATTTTCCACCAGCGGAAAATAAGCCCAAACTCATAAACCAAGCAAATGTGACGTCGATATTTAAAAAAATGACAATTTTTATCTAAATGTAATTTTTGAAATTGTGAAAGTATTGTTTTTAATTGTGACGCCACGTGCTTTGGGTACAGGAGTTTTTGATTTTTTTCCGTTAGTTACAAAATGTATGCTTAATCATTACCAAAAAATTGAGGACTATAATACCTCCGCGGGTTAGAGTTTATCTCCATGTTAATTCAGATTGTGGATTTTTTATTAATATCAGAATGTCAGAATGTTGAATGACAATAAATTTAGTGAACCAATTTTTCACATAAATTTATGACTAACAATTTCTTATTAATGTATTTTTTAGTAAAAATTGATTTACTGTTTCTGAACAATTATGGATACGCCATCCCTAATTGGAACCACGACTTGTTCAACCCTATTGTCCTGGGCGACAAATTCATTAAATTCGTGAATAGTTGAACCCAACCCGCCGTTTAAACCGGGAATGACGCTACCTCCCCAGAAGGCGTTGTCAATTAAAAATATTCCCCTTTCCGACAAAAGCCCAGAGTCCATGATCGTCTAGAAAAATAATTAATTGAATAAGTTCATTTATCAAAATAAGCTTAAATAGAAATTTGAAAATGTACATAGATTTACATAGATTTGACACTTAATTAATTTGTACAAATTCGTGAATCTTGAATCAATTTAAGACAATTTATAAATTTCTCATAAGTTTCACTTCGAAAATGTTTTTTTTTCGATAAGAAAACGAACGAACTAGCTGGGTAAATTTTATTACGAAAATTTGATTAAATTCCAGCAAAAAACTCAACAGTTCGCAATGCTTGACAAATTATGCTGAATTTCCAATTGTTGTGTTGAGCACCCCCAATAATACTGTTTCCCATAGCAAATGGACAACCAAGTTGAAAATTTAAATCGTGTCTGCTCCAGATAAATCGATATTAATAGCTCCAATTAGAACAATCTGCTGCACACCTTGTAATAATTGAGGTAATTTGTTTTATCTGCGTCAATGAAGACAATGTCGAATTTTTGGCCTTTGTTTTTTAAGTCCTGCAAGGATTCCATTGCCGGACCAAGCACGACCGTCACCTTCTTCTCCAATTCTGTCCCTTGGACCCTCTTTTTTAGAAAGGTTTCAAAAAATGGTTCCACATCGAGACAAACGACTTCTTTCTAAAAACAAGAGCAAAATAGTTCACAAAACAGTAAATTCTTGAAATGTATTGTCAAATTTTCAAATAACAGGTTAGCACATCGCTAAAGTTTTTAAATGTCCAGATTTTTTTAAATTTCGAAATTAAAAAATTAGAGCTCTTTCATAAATACTAAAAATTTCTCACCACGAGCTTTGACACGGCAAAGGAAATCGCAGAATGCCCCGTGAACATTCCTATCTCTAGAATCCTCTCTGCCCTCGTGAGTTGGGTGATCACCCTCAAAAAAGCGGCTTCTGGTTGGTCCGTCATCATCGCTTTTGGAGGGATGAAGGAGACCAAGCCTTCTTTAAATCTTGTCGCCCAATCTTCGTTGGCCGTGTCTTGAAAGACTTTCTCCTCGAGCGGAGTGTGTGGCGTGCTTAAGGCGTCGACATACTTTTCAATCCCGACTGCGAGAGTGTGACAATACTTCAATTTGTCGGTAATGGCGGGATTTTTGTTGTCCGCCAAAATTTCGGCGAGGCAAGCAGCCATCCGTTCCAACGGGGAGCCCGTGTATTCAACTAAATTTTAAAGTTATAGATGAACATAATCCTTACTCAATATAAAATGGTATTAAAATGTTCGTAAATATATAAAGCACGCCATTATTTATCATTAGACCAACTGCGTTCTTAACGATTTTCCGCATAATGGGGGCAAAAATTATATAAAAATTTGGATTTTTTATTTCCAAAGTTTTTTTTTAATTTCGGAAAAATTCAAACTAGTGGCGTCAACTGATTTATTTCTAACTAGGGGATTATACGAGTAAGCAGCGTAAATTTGACTCTTATATGTACAAATCAGTGCATTGTTTGTTGGGCTGCAATTCTTAACCAAATCGGTAAAGCTGCATAATGTTAATCATAATCAAAATATCTATCTCAATATTTCAGTTTAAAATTTCGCATTAAAAATGGATTTTATCAACTATACCTTCTTCCAGTTCGGACGGATTTTTAGGCAATGTCGTCATTTTGCAGGGTTTCTCAAATTTGGCAACTTGTCGTTGAGGAGTATGCAAGTCTGTGCGTCTTGTCTGCCCTATGCATGCGAATGAGGGGGCTTAATGACCAAACACCTTAATTTATAGGATCCTAATTATCGTATGTACAATTAATTGGCTGATTGTATGTGTATGTACATATGTAAGTATAAGCATGCATGTAGTGTACATTAAATGTACGTATGTATGCACATACTTTAATATAACTACATAAATACCTACTTATCTATGTACCTGCAAAGCTGTAGCACGTGATTATTATTGTGATAACCAGTGCTCACCAGTGCAAATATGCATTCCAGACAATTATGCAACAATTAATGTATCATGATTCGAAAGATAACTAAAAGAGTGTATGTAAATATTTATTTATCCACAAACAAAAGGATTAACACGACACGTGTACAATAAACTAAGAACGACGTTCAAGCGTCCAACCAATGGCACGCCATGGTCACAAATTTCTACAAAATTATGCATCTATTTCCTTTATTTACATATATTTCAATTTTCATAATTTACAATTTGCATTTCATCTCGTTCAAAATTTCAATTTCCTTCCTCAACATTTCCGACAATTCTTTATTAATCGGATCCCAATTGCGTTCAAAAGAACGTTCCCGGATTTCTGGTTTCGCCATGGCCAAACTTTTCGCGATTGCTTTCACCGTCCTTACCCTTTCCTCGGGGGACATTTCGCCCCTCCAGTAGTCATCGATTTGACGGTAATTGTCCTCTTGGCCGCGATCCGGACGTGTCACAGTGTCACTCGTGACGATGTCGCCACCCTCATTTCCGTTTCTGTTGCCATTATGGGAACTTATTCCGTTAAAACTGCTCGGAAAATATTTAACTTGGTTGAACCGGTTGGAAAAAATTTCGGTTTTTTCATTTCTATGGAGCGGGCAATTAACCGGAATTTTGTTAAAGTCGCGACCCAGCCGGTGTCGTTGGGCGACGCTGTATGCAAAAATTCGCCCATGGAGGACCCGATCTGGACTAAGGGCGACGCCAGGGATCAAATTTCCCGGGTGAAAGGCGACCTTTTCGATTTGCTCGGCAAAATTGGAGGGGTTCTGGTTGAGGGTCATTGTGCCGACGGGGATGAGGGGAAATTCCTTCTCGGGCCAGATTTTGGTTGGGTCGAAGGGGTCAAAGGTGCATGTCGAGGAGGTGGATGGGGTCATTATTTGGATATTTAAAGTCCACGTGGGGAAACGGGATGATTTGATGGAATGGTATAAATCTTTGCGGAAATGGTCAGGGTCTTCATAAGGACAAGAGGAGGGGGATGTTGAGACAGGTTCCTGAAATATTTAAAGAAATTATGTAATTTATAGTACAAATTCGATTGATAATTTAAACCACTTAACAATTTCATTTAACCCTTTAAACTGTAACGACGACAATTGTCGTTTTATAAGAAATGGTTTAATTCGGGAGTACGACAAAAGTCGTCCTGAAAAATCGTGGTCATGGCGCGGAAGGAAGACAATTGTACAATTGTCGTTTCTAGGAGGTCATTGATTTTCACCATTTTCTCTCCGCGGCCTAAAATTTGTTGCAATTTTGAGAGATTTCTCCTATGCCAACACAATTCTAAATTTGAAGATTTTCGTCCCGAAAATTTGGATATTTCCCTATACAACGCAATGTTAAATTTTTGACTTTTCAGTTTTTTGAGTTTTAGTAAAAACTCCTGAATTTCTCCTCCCGCGCCATGACCACAACATACTTATAGTGTCACCGATTTAATGCATTTTCTTGTCGTCAATCATACACGTTAAAGGGTTAAACCACTGAACAATAAGTATGGAGTAATTTTGCATCGTCCAACAAATAGAATTTATGTATACAAGATGCAAAAAGGAGGTGTAATTTTGATATTAAATATTTACTCACTATGCAATTGGCAAAAACAACGGATACAAAAACTTGTAAAATTCGAAAGTCTTAATGTACAAACACACATAAATACTTGAAAGGCCACAAATTACAAATATTTTAAAAATGCAAGTCAAAAATAATGTAACAATTATTATGTTGCATATGTATTTCAAAAAATATTATACAAATTTATACCCAGATCCAAAAGATGTCTTCCATTATTTACCTGTACATCATCCGGCAACATGTGATACCTCACAAAAACGCTTTCCCCACACTGTCCACCTTCATAAAAAAAATTGCCAATTAAAAACAAAATTTCCCCAAAATAACACGTCAAAATTCAATTTTGTATCAAAACCCTCAACTTCATACCCGTCCACTTAAACGTATTCAACGCGAAACCCTTCATCTCCCTGTAATTTTTCATCCGTCCCGCATCACTGAAGGAGAGCAACGTTCCAAAGGTGACTTCCGGTCGTAACGAGGTAAAATCCCAGTAAGTATCCGGATCCAGGACAAACGTCTCCGGGTGACGCATCCTCGATCGTCCAATGCTCGGGAAAAGGATCGGGTCTCGAATATTGAACGCTTTTATGTTCAACATGAGCAAATCGTAATTTCCATCCTGCGTATAAAACTTGACGGCGAACCCTCTCATATCTTCGACCCCATCGGATGACCCCGTTTCCAGGACGGTCGTCGAAAATCGCGCCATCACGGGAACCTCGACCCCCATCTTGGTAAATAATCCCGCGCTTGTGTACTTTCCAACAAAGTATCCCAGTGCCCCAGTCCCGTTGGCGTGGACGATCCTTTCAGGAATCTTTTGTTAGACGAAATCCGCCAAAAAATCCTGGAAATTTTGATCCTGCAAAAGCAAAGGACCTTTTTGGAAAGGGACGCAGTTAAGGATTCGATGATATTTCCCGTCTCGTTTACGGGTTGGGCGGTGGTGGGGGTCGTCATTGCAAATTTGGATTTTGCAAAAACTAAAAGTTATTATTGATAAATAAATATTTGCAAGTTTTACAATAAGGTGCAGCTCAATATAAAACCAATTGAGACATTGCACACTTTTTATACCGCATTTTTTAACCTTGACTGGTTCAGGTGATGCCAAGCCTGAAGTAATTTAATTCCCCGTACAAGCAATTAAATTTTAACATGTGCAGATATTCAGGCAGTAAAATCGGTATCATTCATACATATTTATGTATGCTGACCTGATACTTATGTAACCAAGTTGAGGGGGGCCCATCACCATGTCCAGTCGCCGCGGAGACCGGGGGGACATTTTGGGACATTAACATTGCAGGATAGGGGAGGGAGGGGTTTATATCACATGGACAGAACAACCGGGGGGACATTGTCCCTCTGTCCCCTCCGAGGCCACTTATCATGTCAACAACATTATCTATAATTTGCATAGGGTACAAACTCTTTAAACATGTACATAGGTAATTTAGAGTTTTTTTCATCGAGTAAAGCGTGCACATTTTTATGAAAACCACGAGGCCATTGTGCAAGATAAAATTTGTGAATAAAATCAAAATCCTTTAATCCTCTCCTTTAAGGAAAAAATCATCCTCACTCATCTGACATGCAGCGGATTTTTCTGCCCTCGTTGTTATCGAACAGGTACATATGTAGGTAACTTTGGCACATGTTTCCACTTAACATTGAGGTCAAACTGACGCCAGCTGGATTAATTGCACAAATTGGATAAACGCACTTGTTAACAATCCAGCCATGTTCATGAATACGATAAACTCGCGTATATGTATGTATGTAAATAAGTATATATCTAATTCATCCAAAGTTGCATTGTAAGATGTCTCGTGTGTTAAATATGACGCAAATTGCAGGATAAAAATTTCTCCACGTGGATACAATAAGGACAGGAATGTTAAGCTCATGTTTTGAAAAACAGTCGGATGGATAAGCATGCATGTTGAGCATCTTTGTATATGTCTGACTTGGTCAAGTGGATAATTGGTCTAGACAAATGAACCCAAAATATGTGCACAGACTGATTGTGCAATTTTACATTTTGTGGTATGGCCTTGAATTCAATTTGGTTGCATGGATTTGGGTGGGGGTAGGGGTGGAATTATCAATGCCGAAAATTTTGGATGGCATAACTGATGGTGAAAATTTTTCCTGATGAAAGTTAAAATTTATCCAATCCAACATTGTCTTATTTTCCTTCGACCTTGAGTAAGTTCTACCTTCGTCGGGTAAATTTTACGTAACCAGTTGAGTTATCTTAAATTGTGATCAACTTTATTTAGTACATTCAACGAGGAGGTATTTTCCATTTCATCTGAGAATGAGGTGCAACGATATGAAACTTTAATGAACTCATCTCCCCAAGTGATCAGGCGAGATGAGACTTATCTCATTCAATCTCACTGGCCATTCTATGCATGTAAGAATACGTATACACGTATGCATTTACATAAGAACATGTATTTATGTGCATGTGCACATAAGTCCATGGATACTCAAATTGCACGATTGAACCATCTGCGTACCAAGAACAATTAATGTTTAAGATTTACGTAGGTACAAAATTTAGAACAAAATCACAAATTGAATCGATTTATGTACAGTCAGGAGCAAATCTTTAGAGCCACCCCTATTTTCGTCATAAGTTTTGATCGCGTCATCATAATATAACCAAATTCGGCAATAATGTGTTAACCACTATCCTACACAAGTGACAGGAGCCACGAAGTCGAAATACGCCGCATTCAAGTTTTTTCTTACTAAATGTAAAAAATAGGGGGTGCAAAACTTTAGAGCCACCCGGAAAATTTGGCTATTAAATACATTTGTTCAATTTGTGACCAATTAGAACACGTGGTTTTGATATCTAGAACTCCGATAGACTTCCGTTCTTCGAAGTTAATCCACAGATGCAACTTAGCATAAAGTCGGCAAATTTTTTCTCCTCTTTCGCTATAAACTAAAAAAATTCTTGTTTGAAGCTGTTATCATCGTCGGTTCAGCTTAAATTTTGATTATATTTTCTTACCAATACCCTACAATGTAGTTTGGTAGAATTTAGGTCAGCCGACAATTTGAGCCTGGTCCGTAGATATGTCCTATCGTCATAGAAACTTTTTTTTCTTGCTCTTAGATCTACATTATAAGCTGGAAATGTCTGTTGGCAACGGAAGTGAAAGTAAATGTTCTGCAACGGAAGTGAAAGTAAAGAAAGTCAAGTTTCAAATGGCGCGAAAATTCAAAATAAATTAAGTTCAAAACAATAAATGTCAGAACGTATGGTACTCTTTGTGGGCTTATTTATGTGGGGGTGGTAATTATCTGGGGGTGGTGGGTATTTGAGGATGGTAGTTATCTGGAGGTGGTGGTTATCTGGCGGTGGTGGTTATCTGAGGGTGGGTGGTTATCTGAGGGGGTGGTTATCTGAGGGGGGTGGTTATCTGAGGGGGTGGTTATCTAGGGATGGTGGTTATCTGAGGGTGGGTGTTGTCTGGGGGTGGCTGGTTGTCTGGGGGTGGGTGGTTATCTAGGGAAGGTGGTTATCTGGGGATGGGTGGTTATCTGAGGGTGGGTGGTTATCTGTGGTAGGTTATCTGATGGTGTTAGGGCCAAGGTGTCAAATTCCACTATCATTGGTGGTACAAGACTTCAGGTGGCCAGGCGGGCCGAGCCACCGGGATCAAATCCCATAACGTCTGAGCATTGGTGGTCTTGGTGGGCGAGTCGCCCTCAGCCGCGACGAGCCACGGGAGTAAACCCCATTACGTATGAGCATTGGTGGTCTTGGTGGGCGAGTCGCCCTCAGCCGCGACGAGCCACGAGACTAAACCCCATTACGGATGCATTGGTGGTCTTGGTGGGCGAGTCGCCCTCAGCCGGGACGAGCCACACGAGTAAACCCCATGATATATGAGCTTTGGTGGTGTTGGTGGGCGACCCCCCTCAGCCGGGACGAGCCACCCACGCGTTAGGAGATCGTGTGATGTGAAAGTGGAGGTAGTTACAAATAGCGTCCAAGGTAAATTAATACCAGGAAACGATAAAGTGTTTACTAAAAATGTAGTATTTAAGGAGGTGTTAAATTAGATTTTGCATGATAATAATATGTATTACTGGTATAATCTTATAAGGCTCATTGCCAATAGAGTTAGTACAATTTTTCAATTGTCATGTGTTGGCTGGAATCAATTAAATTTTGTATTAAATATGTAAAGTTTGAAATTGTTCGCCATGAATGTGTACTCTTCTCAATAAATATAGTTAACGGTACAATATGGTGTTTTGAATTGACGTAAATAATTATCGTTGGGTTATGCGATACAATTATGCATGGTAATTTACATCCGCCACGAAGCTCTATATTAATTAGGGTTGTTATCTTTATTTACTTTTTTGCCGTTGCCGACAATAATTCACGCTGATAGTGTAGCTTTTATGGCCCGGCGAAGACGGGCTTATTCGCTAGTAAAGAATATTGGCATACATTCTTGCAAAACGAGTTTACTTCGCCCATTCGGGCTTGATTCTTCACAGTCTGATCTTGGCATAATTCGTGACCACCTTCTGGATCCACTGTACCACGAGAAAGCTTCACCTGCCCTGTAGTATTTATCGCCGGCGACACTCAATTCATTACATAATCCTCCACCGCTTTGTTTCATGAGAAACCAGTTAGTTCTCACCAAAATCGTGATAAAATGGAAGAAGACTGTCGAAGGCATTCATTCAGAATTATTTCATATTTTGTAAAATACTGGGTGGACGAAACCCTATACCCATTAACGCACTCCAAATCGTCGATTCATCCATGTTAGTTAATGGCGGTTTGTTTCCATTATTTCGTTAATTCGAGGGAAGGAGTTGGCTCTAAAACTTCTCTAGCAATCCTGTTAGAGTGAGCAAGTTGAAATTTGCACGCGCGAGACGACCTTGTTGATTGCTGCTAGACAAATTTAATAATTATCCGCGTGGTTCAAGCTTAGACCTCATCCATCCCCAACTGTTTTACAAGTATCTTGAATCAATGTCAACGAATTTTGCCTAAACTAACATTTCTAGCCTATTTGCTACTAAATATGGTGTTAGAGAGCGCTAGATAACTTCAAACCCGATATCCCGATAGCATCATATTGAAATGGGCATAATTACCTTCCAATGTTCGCTTGAATGCGGAAAAAAATTTACTTATCGCAAAATGCGCGCCAATCGGCTTAGAAACTTGTACTATACTAGTTAAAAATGCAACTTCATTAAATTTCGTCTCAGACCAAAAAACAGATGATAAATTCGAAATAGAAACTAGGTGGCTCTAAAGGTTTGCACCCCCTATTTTTTACATTAAGTAAGAAAAAAATTGTATGCGGTGAGTTTCGACTTCGTGGCTTCTGTCACTTGTGTAGGATAGTGTTGTACAGATTATTGCCCAATTTGGTAATTTTATCATGACTCGATCAAAATTTATGACGAAAATAAGGGTGGCTCTAAAGATTTGCACCTGACTGTATATAGCATTTCATGTAAGTGAAAAACGTAAAATTTCATCCAGTTCAGTTAACATGTTTGGCAATATTGGAGCATCCTCAATTCAGCTTTCTCCCTGGAAAACTTTCACCTTACTTACCCGGGAGATTATCGACCTATTTCGCTCCCGCTTTCCCCATTGTAAACCTGTAGCATACTTGTATACTTTCCCTACATACTTTTTCATTCATTGTCAAATCTCCCAGCTGTGAAAACATTACTTTCTTCACCATAATATTTGCGAATTTTACTTAAATAATTTATGTACAAATAAGTAACATGCTTAAACGATTGAAAGCCATTAATTTTGAACGGCCGTCACTAGTTTTTTCGGCCGGAGATAAATTAAGAGGTTCCTTAGTGTTTGACGGGTCTGAGCGAACATTGACTATTTACGGTGAGCAAGAGAAAGTTGTAGATTTCATAAGTTGATAAATTATCGTGCAAAATTTCGCGCATAGAATTTTGCAACATTTTTTTGCAGATTTAAACAAAATTTGTGCCAAATTACTAATAAATACCACAAACTCCTTGTTTTGGAAAGCTTGCAAATGAGCAAATTTACCAGCGAAAAATTTTATGAAAGTTTTTCCCAAATGAATTTGTATGTAAAGTGCTCCATAATAAATACAAATTTTAACCATATGCAAAATTAAATCTGGTCCTTTGATTGTGAGAATTTACAGTCAAAATGAAATTTGATTTGAGAAGATTTGCACATTTCTGCGACGCATTTGATTCAATACTTGATTGATTTTGTATGCAGATGAGTTTATCTCAATTCCTCGCGCAAGTAGAGCTGACACCCCGTTCGAGTTGGATTTGCCGGAAACGTTATGGTCAACTTTCATCGGCGGACTGGGGTACACAGTTTACCGTCTCGTCTTTTTTGGCAGGCCGAACAGTCCACTTTTCTTTAAGGAATCGTTACTCTGTCTCAGTGAGATCGTCATCATTGGGTTATCAAACCCAGCGGCGGATGCCTTCACGGCACAATTTAATGAAATGAAGGTATGCAAACAGAACAAAAAACTAATAGGATGTAAAATGTCCCCAGCATGAAAATAAATACCCAATAATTTAGAAGTGAGACGATTCGCGAATTAATTTCAAAATTTGTTCAGGAATTCGCCTCCAAATCGGGAGAATTGGCGAAACTGACCGTTTCCATGAACCAGACTTGTGCATCTCCGGGGGACACGGTGTCTCTGTCTGTGAATATCGAGAACGGTTTAAGGCTCCCTTTGGGCTCGGTGAAAATGGTGTTTCAACAGGTGCACATACTTATTATTACGCATAACATGCGTCGCATATTATTTATGCACATTTTATGCACATTATTATTTTGAAATCAATGTTTTTCAGAATGTCACCTACGTATTCGGCAGCGTGGGTTTGGCACAAGCAAGATTTTTTAATCAATAACTTTAACTCATTAAATTAGGATCGATCACTCAATTTGGAAATGGATTAGAAATTTAGCCAACTTGGTGAAAAAGTAGTATAAAATTTGATAGAATCAGCGTTCCTCAGCTACACAATTAAATATGTACATATTTATGTATTTGTCTCGGATCTTTACTTAAATTTTATGTTTTTTTGAATTCCAAATTCAGCTATTCTCCCGACAAATGAAGGACCAAGAAGTTATCATCCTCGTTCATAAGGAAGGACCCTTAATTCCTCCCGGACCGAGGAGGAATATTTCATGGAACTGCACTTTCCTAGTTCCCCATACCGTCCCCACAAATATGGGAGCAGACGGGTGCAAATTCATTAAATTGTCGTATTGCATAATTGTAAGAACAAGTTGTCACACATGTCTTTTCAAATTATGTACTTAGTGCTCTGCATGCAAATTTCAAAGTCGGATTCCAGCTCGTGCACGGCACTATTTCAATTGTCCATTTTCGCAAACTCATTGGCAACATTAATTAATTAATTTGCTCAGGTTACTGTCGCCAAATTTGTCAATTTGCAAATCATCGTGCCCATCCATATCGGGACGTCTGTGTTTTCTGACCCCTCTGACTTTGAGGAGGTCTCCCTCGCTTATAAGAGTCAGTTGCAACGCAGCCTTTCCGAACAGTCGCTCGCCTCTTGGGCCACGTCTGATAATGCGTCTTCGAGCTGTTGGTCGTTAATGGACGGTACTGAAAGTGAAAGTGGTGATGATAGCATCAGCGTGGTGTCTACATCGTCATCGACCCGACCACCATCGTACAATTCTGAGTGGAAGTTTGCACCTATAGAGACGCGTAAGGCATTAAATACTTGAACGTCATTGTAAAATTTGCATCAATTTGCTCATAAATATGACTGAAATTTGATGGAATTTGATTGTGCATTTCATAAATTTTGAATTTCGATACGACCACTGAGATTAATAATATGTATGCATGACAAACACAAAATTTATGATTTCAAAGATATGTAAGTATATATGCACATCAAAATTTATATAAAAGAAACCCAAAAAAGGAAAGCTTAGATGAGATTAAGAAGTGCGATAAAAAGTATTTAATAAATTTCTTCTCCAGTGAAGGATATAGAATTTTAATATTTCCAGTATCAGTGCCCCATCCCATTTTATTTTATACTAAATTACATAAGCAACATGTTCACGTATGCATATTATTGGGGAAAGGAGTCGACTATTTAGTAAGACCTGTATATTATGTATCAACTTTAGGTATAATTGCAAGCATTCATAATTTTTTAGTGACAAGAACAATTAGCAAATGATTTTAATATGTTCCCTACATCATATTTGAAATTTGATAGTTATTGTATATTTGTATCTATTTGTATGATAGTGAATGAAATGGGGCGCTGATGCTGGAAATAATAAAATTCTATATCCTTCACTGCAGAAGAAATTTATTAAATACTTTTTATCGCACTTCTTAGTCTCATCTAAGCTTTCCTTTTTTGGGTTTCCTTTATTTAATAGTTTTTATTCGCAATTGAAAGTAATTTATTAAGTAGTGTAAGCTGCATAATGCGATCGTTTTGTTCGTCCGTCCGTCTGTGTGCAGGATATCTCCAGAACGAATCTCGGTCGAGTTCGATAATAGGGTTAATGGGACCGCTCCCCACAGCGCTAGAGGCTGTGGTCCAAAATTAAGCTTAACCTTAATTTTCATATTGGGTGTCATTTTAAAGGAAATTTCACGTCGAATTCAACGCCGTCAATATTCTTGGCCTTATGATCGTGAGGACGAGGTCAAAGATCAAAACTTCATATCTTGGGAACGACAATTATATAATTATAGTTCCAACATACATATGTGACCGTTGACCTCCTCTACATGATTCCTGGGGTGTTGCATGTCAAAACTGTTCTTATATTCATGTTCAGCGTTCAAAATCCGTTACGAATTATTAAGAATTGTCGAACCGACGGACAGACGGACATAACGATCTTACAAATAAATGGGTTTCGCCCTTATATTATTCGTAATTATCACTTTGCTGAGTGGTGGGCCTTAGCAACTAAACTTAGTGGTGGTGGGAAAGGTAATATTTTGACCACCATCAAAACTTTCTCAGTTTTAAACCGATTTTGGGTATTTTAATTTTATATTTTTCTAAAAAATATTTATAAACTTTTTTCCCATTTACATTTATCATATATGCCTTTATTTTTTTCTAATCTCCTAAAAACACATTTTTGATGGTGTTTTTGTTGCATATCTCAGAAACAGGTCAACATATTAGCCTCCCGTTCGGCAGTTCAATTCTAATTTGCTATAATTAACTCTGGGCACTAATTTCATTAAAATCGGATGGAAATTGACCTAGATCTGAAAAAATTAAGCTTTTCAAAACCGTAGTGAATGCTTACTTAGATGATTTTTTTCTGCAGTAACTATAGCCTCATCTAAGAAAAATACCTGGACAAGTTTATTACCATAATATTGTAATAAACATGCATCTTATGCATATAATTGACGTATGTATGTAAGTATCCTATAGCTCCTCCATCTTACGAGGACCCTGCTGAATTGCCCTGAAAGTGACCAGGATGACTTGAAAAATACGGCTGGATCCGCTTCGAAAATTTCGTTTGAAATTCGGCTCTAATGGCGCATAATATGTGTCAATTGCTAAGATTACATTGCCAACTGCCTATTTCAAATAAACATTGTATTCACCGGATTTTTAAAAGTTTAAACTTTCCATGCACTTTAGGAAAATGTTTACCGTTTAAGTATTTAATGCGTCTTGATTACTACTTTTATTCTGTAGAATGATCTGATTGTTCTAAACAAATGATATGGGTTAATGGATTGAAATCTTAAAAAGTTTTCATGGCCGAGTGATGGGTTTGACATAATATGTAAATTAAATATAATGAAAATTAAATATTTATGTGACTTAACCGCAGTAATTTGTTCTAAATATGTATGTATTTTAACTGAAATAAATTTACAGTATTATTCGTAAATTCGTACGCATTTCTTTAGTTGTCTTTGAATTATGATGAGGTGAGACGTGATGAATTTCACTCATCTCTTGAAGTGATGAGGCGAGTTAAGAATTACTTTACCTCATTCGATTCGATATCACTGGCAATTCTACGTATGTCCATATTATGGACATATCACAGAACTATACTATTATATCATATGTACATACGTATTAACTTATGGACTCCATAAGTTCATATACAGTGTATATTATACACATAACTACATATGTACACAAATTGCACTGTACAAAGCTGTATACCAAAAACAATAAATTTTTAAAATTTATGTTTAGGTTTACAAAATTTAGAACAGAATCTTAAGTTTTATAGATTTACTTATGTACGTATGTATCTATGTACGTAGCACCTTTATATGCGTTTGCCTGCAAATGTTCAGAATAAATCGGATACGTGTACATACGTACGTAGCAATTTATGTAAGTTCAAAATATAAAATTCGAGCGTGTTAACTCTGTGAACATTTTGTATGTTTGACGAATATGGATCTTCAGTTCAGCTTTCTCCGCAGAAAACTTTCACCTTACTTACCCGGGAGATTATCGACCTATTTCACTCCCGCTTTCCCCACTGCAAACCTGTAGCATACACCCTGCATATGTTTTCATTCACTCAAATCTCGCAGCTGGGAAAGCATTGCTTTCTCCACTACAAATTTACCAATTTTAGTTAAACAATTTAAAAATAAATAAAAACATGTTTAAGCGATTAAAGGACATTAAATTTGAACGACCATCATTAGTTTCAAGGTTGCTTGACAATTTATCATAATACATGTGTAATTATTATTACTAAAGTTGTCTAGCAACCTTGCATTAGTTTTTTCGGCCGGAGATAAATTAAGAGGTTCCTTGGTGTTTGAAGGGTCTGATCGAACATTAAATATTTACGGTGAGGGAGAAAGTTGTAGATTTTTTAAATTCATAAATTATCACATAAATATAAATATTTGCAGATTTAAACGTCTTACTAACCGGCGCTGTTCGCCAGTCGACACGTTATCGACCTTACACGGAAAATAAGAGGCACATGGAAGACTACACATGCAAAATTTTGACGATCTATTCAAGAACTAAAGTTACCAAGGGAACAGGCAAGCAAATTAACGTTGGTTGTTCAAATACATAAGTATTTAGTAAATTCACTGCATGTTAAATATGCAATAATTATAAATATATCAAATCGGTAACACTTTTCTGAGAGATTAATAGATTATTGCGTAAAATGTTTGCCAAACTATTAAGTACTCAGGAACCCAGTATATGGTAAAGTTTTCTTTCAAATGCACGTAATTTATCAGATATGAATTTCATAGAAGTTTTGCCGCAATTCATCCATGCTAAACGTTCGAAAATAAATTAATCTTGTTGTAAAGATGTTCATAAACCACGTTTTTGGATTGTGTGAATATTTACTAAATTTCGTATAATACGAGTCGTATTGATCGATTTAAATGAAAATTCAATTTTTGTGGGAATAATTACACAAAAATGTGCACATTTTAATAATTATTTTATTTTTTAGATGACTTTGTATCAATTCCTCGCGCAAGTAGGGCTGACATCCCGTTCGAGTTGGACTTGCCGGAAACGTTATGGTCAACTTTCATCGCGGCTTGGGATACACGATTTACCGTCTCTTCTTCTTAGTCAGGCCGATGGTCACGAACTCTATCTTCAAAAACGTTACTAC